TCTTACTTTTTTTAATTGAAAATTCAGGAAACTGGAAAAATCCTTTTTTAGTTTCAGGCTGTACAATTTTTTTTTTTACTTTTCTTTAGCAGACAAAAAGTAATAATGATAATGTTTAATTGTTATTCAGAATAGGTTTTCATTTCTGCTCTCAATTTCCTTTTTGTTTTTTTGCACTGTTTTGGGTTAAAGGGTTCAACTCATCATTATTGTATTGAATAAATTCTGAAAAAAATCTGTAAACCGTGTAGAGAGTAAAATGGCTTAAATGCACACTCATCAATATATGTTTGTTTAATTACACCTATGTATTCATGTGTTTAGTCCCATACAAGCTTATAAAGTCCCTCAGTGCTGCCAGCATGTGTTCTCTCCTGGTATTGGCCTCTGTCTGTAAACAGGTCAGAGTACAGACTCCTGTACAAACATATCACTATCATATTTCACCACTGTCGGCAATGCACTCTTTACAGTGGCAGGTGTCGTGTTCACGTTTACAACAGTGACTCACACGCTTGAGAAGCTGCAGTCAGAATTTTTGGATTACACGGAAAATTTGCTCTTTACAGTTATATATTTTTTAATAAATTAGACATGTTGAACATTGAGATTTTAAATAATAATAAACTGCAGTCTTGGTGCAAACAAGGTGTGGGATACTGGGGATTAAAGAGTTGAGAAATAAATATGCTCTTTCCCACATGAGCAAAAAAAGCAACAGGTAGACCAATCACCATAAATTCAAAACAGTAACTTGTTTCAATGTTGGTGCTGATCTTTGTGACATCATTTTCATCTGCAACAACTTGCCTTACATATAAAAACTCAAAGGCACTCAGCAAACTGATTTATGAGTGTGGGACCAAAAATCCGTATCTAGTCAATTTAAATGTGGTTTCATAAAGGGACTGTAAGGCCTCGGTGGAGGTATGAGTGCCAGTTTAGTTTGTAAGCAAGATAAAGCACAAAAAAATGGATTTCCATGAAACTTTGTGGGAGGATGAAGCATGGATCAGGGAGGAGCTCATGACATTGGCTGCAGTAAATAATACAGGGACAAAAATATAACAAAAACATCACAAACAGCTTTATTATCAGTGTCACAGCACTAATGTTGGCTCGACAACACATCAGTAACACTTCATACATTGGTGAAAGGAGTGATATGAAAACAAACTTGACATAAACATTGATTTGCTGATATGTGGAGTACAGTGTCTCATGGTTCCTAAGGTTTTTATGTTATTATCGTCGTCATCTCAGGGAGCACGGTGGGCTTGACCGCACATAATTGCCTAAAACACAAAATCACATCATTGTGAATCCACTTATTCATGCTCTGCAACAGCAAACGTTTGATTAATGTTATAAGAAACAGTTTTTGTGTCTTACTCAGCTTCCTTGCCCTTCACGAAATCACATATTGGTCGGCGTCCCGTCAGTTGTTCTTGCAGATTTACAATCTCCTGCTTCCAGGCATCAGACTCAGATTTTAGAGAAGCTTAATGACAGAGAAAAGATGCAGATGACTCAGTGACACTGTCATCTCTCCACATGGTGGCAGCAAATGATCTGTACAGTGGTTGCATGTCTATACCTTCTGTGTCTGTGAGTCCCTTTTCTGTTTGTGCCAGCTCATCGCTTTTTGTTTGCTAAGATTGAAGGAAAGGAAATGTCAAAGTGAAACAAATCATATAATACTATAACATTAAAAGACTGTTGATATTGATGTATTAATGACAGAAATTATTGCTGTAGCTTTGACATGTAACAAGGTGGATTTACAGTTTCTAAGTATATTTTCATGTGCCTGTACTTTTTATAATAACAAGCTTTATGTGTAGAGTACTTTTTTAAGTAAGAGATTCAGATGATAAAATAAACAATAAAATTAGTATATATGTAAAGAAATATAAAACATGCATATGCGTGTACACAGCCTGTTCTTTTATAACAACTTATTTATAACTTCAGATACATTTTTTCACACTTATTTTTTTACTCTACCACACAAATAAGCAAATATCTTTGCTTTCTGCTCCACTACATTACAATTATTATTATTTTTTTCTTCAAGTAATCAATAAGGGGAACTGGTTTAATGATCCAATCAGAGCAGGCAGGGAACATTAGACCCCACTGCACCACTCTTGGAGAGACACCTAAACTGGATTCAAAAAAGGCCGCCACAGAGACTCAGCCATAAGGAATAATAGGCTACACTCAGCAAGTATCTAATAGTTGCATATTTAAAAGCAAGTACCAACATACTTTTACACAAGTAGGTAAGTCTATGTCTTTAAGTACTTCATCCACCATTGGCTGCATCTGGTGGAACTAACTTCTATAGATACACTACAATCTAGTGCAATGGTTCCTAACATTGGGCCCTGCGGGTCAAAAAGATAAATATTACGTATCGTGATCATTACGGGTATAAAGTGGTAAAAGTCTAAATAAAACCTGAAATTCTACTTTTGCAGAGTTCTTGAGTCATTGCTTTCCAGCAAGGCTTTGTGAGATCATATGTTTGCAAAGAAAATAGCATTTTTACCTTTTCTGTTTGACAGGACTCTTTTCCTTTTTTTTTCTCCTCCATTTCTTGGACCAGTTTGGACATTAAAGGCTCCAGCTCCTCCAACTCTTTCTTCCCCTGATGCAGCAGCGTCTCCACCGAGGTTTTGAATAAAGCCTTGTTTGACACTTGATCATTTCTCCTTTGGAAATCCTCTTCAGCCTTTACACTCTCCTTCTCCACAGTGGCCAGGTCCTTGTACTGGCCCATTATAACCACCACCAGTCCCATGGATACCAAGAGAGAGAGAATGCCTGTAATCACCTGAATCCGCATTGTTGTGGTGGTTTTGTGTCCCTGTGTGCAGCAAAGGAAAAATTGAAGTTAAACAAGATATCAAAGAGTGTGTAGCAAAAGTCACTGGACTATTACTTTCTACTTTCTGAGCCCTCCTCTCTCCTGTGTATTGTCCGCTTCCTGCTCACTCACTGTTGAGATCTTTACCCGCCCACAGAAAGAGAGACACGTGATAGGGTGTGTAACACTTGATCTGCTGCCACTCTCACCTCCACAGACTGGTTTGCAAACAAGCTGGACAGCTTTGGTATGCTTTGTCCGCAGTGTAAGTTAATAATAGTTATACTATGACTACAGAGGGGCCGGCCACTGGAGCAAATAATCATGTGGTTTCAGGTGCTGCATGGGAAAAGAATGTCTTTAGGAGCTGGAGCAGGTGTTCTGATTCTTTGAAATATCTCTGTGTAAAACAGATCTGTTTCTGTTAAAGCTCATATGTCTGCAAACATTCCTGACTCCAGAGCTGCAGGATCCAGCTCTACTCAACTATACTCGACACTACTCGACTATAATAATACTTGTCAGGTTTTTAAAGGAAGCAGGAGGACCCAAAAATGCAGAACATAAAGGTGTAGTGAAACAAAAAGTGTCCTTTAATAAAAAAACAAGGTTCTTACAGAAAAAACTAAATCCAAAAGTCCATAAACAGAAAAGCTCTGGTATCCAAAAAACTCAAAAAAGGCTAAGTAGAAAAAGCAAGGGAACACTAGAAACTTACAACTGAGGGACGATGGAGGAGAAACAACAACAAGGTGGTGATACGACAAACTGACAAAGACAAAGGGAAGCACAGAGATGAGCTTATATATACAGGGTACCTAGACACAGGGGAATCACATGAGGAACAGGTGCAGACAATCACAGGGGCAGGAAACAGGACAAAGACAGGAAGTAAAGTTGGAAATACACAAGGAGCAAAAACTTCTAAATAAAACAGGAAACTGAACACAAATCCAAACAAACATACACATTTTCTGCAGAATGAGGAGTATCACTTTGATTCTCTATGTTCATTTTGTGTACTTGATTATGATTATGACTTTGAACTTTAAACTGAAATTATTTACACAAGTCACACCCAACCCATTATTCCCATGGGTGATAACCATGGTCAGTGCCAACAAATCATTATCAGTGGATTTATATTTAACAGAAATATTGTAAAACCTAACTGATGGTCACTGGTCCAGCTGGACAATCACATCGGTTTTGTTATGGAAGTTTTCTGGAAGCTGGTGAAAGGAAAACTCAGGCAGCAGCAGATTTATGCAGAAGATTTTAATGTAGACTTGATGCATCAAGGAGACCAGAAGGTGGAACAATTTACAAATGCTAACAGAGTAACATGAGCAATTGCCACTCCCAAGTCTGACGATGTCTCACGCAGCATCCCCATATATCGTCCTCTGCTTGTGTCACCCATTCTAACAGCATATCAATGAATGGTTAGAATTGCTCTCACTCTCTATGTTACATGTAGGTATTTGCATCCTATTATCTTCATTATAGCACCTTGATAGCATACCTCAAAATTTGACTACACTCTGGCACACTGTGAATTTTTTTTCTTCTTATACAACTTATAGGTCCATTGTCTGTCTGTATATGTTGTTTCCATTGTTGTTGTTTGTTTGCACTATTTGTTGTATGTTATATGTTGTGTGTTATATATTACTTGCACATTTGGAGTATGGGGAAATGCAATTTCAATCCTCTGTGTGACTACCTGTTGATTTGTTTGGTTGACAATAAAGTTCACTGAGACTAAGACTAAGACCACTGGTGTAATACACAAAAGAGTTGAAGTTGGTGCCTCTCTGTCTTTGACATCTGCGTTAGATATGAATGTCTGTAAGAGTAGACAATACAATGTACTGTTGGTTGGTCCTTTAGCTATAACCTGGCCTTGTGTACTGCTTAGAGAGAGAGAAGGGTCTGTGGAACTCTTCTCTTAATGGTGTACATATATAATGTAATATACACTATATATACATAATATGGTATATAGTGGCATGTACAGTAATGTGTGAGGATATACGAAAATTCCTAAGCAGGTTTGACAGGACAGATCAAAGACTGTGTTTAAAGATGGATGACATGACAGCTCCCCAGTCAAAAGGCCTTGATCACCACCTGGTGGCTGGCTGCAGTAGAGGTCATGAATAGAATATTATTAAACTAATGTGGGTGAAGGAATTTTTAACCATCTCTCATGTGAGACATCTTTCAGACTTGCAGGTGATAATTGCTCATGTTGCTCTGTTAACGTTTGTATATTGTTCTACCTTCTGGTCTCCTTGATGCATCAAGTCTACATTCAACTCTTCTGCATAAAAAACTCGTAAAATAACCTGTCGTTGTATTCGCAGACATATGCATGTGAGGTAAGGAGACCCAACAGTATATAAATATTTAATAATTGTTTTTTGGCACGTGGTAAACAAATATATTGTATAAGTAAACTTATTGATGTAATGTATTCACTGTATGTACCGTATCTCCTTGTGTGGGTGACTGATTTAAAACAGACAATAAATGACAATAGAGTAAAACCTTCTTGTAATTATATTTTATATAATGGATGGTAGACAGTTGGGCTTAAAATAACTCATTACCAGGGTCAGTTGAATTTTCCCTGTGTAACATTTAGAGTTTTTAATGAAGATTTTACAGCAGGAATAAATGAAGAGGCAAAATTTCAAGTTTATTATGTTATGTTATTTTACAAAATCAAACATGAATTCCACATTTCAGTCTTGATTTGAATTAATTGTAGATGATGATACTGTTGCATTGAGGTGACGAGTTTCCTTCACAGCCCACTGCAAAAAAGAGGAAAACTTAATTAAATTGGTGTAAATACACAGATCTACTGTATTCAAACTATGATTAATGTTGAAAATGTTGATAATCTCAGGTGCAGCCTGACACAGCGTCTATCCCGCTCACCAGGTAGGAAAGTCTTGTGCAGAAAATAGGGCCATGTAGTCCTGCATCGTCCCCAGAGAGAAGACCATGATGTCTCTGAAGGGGAAGAGCTTGTCACATGCTCCGCATACTTTTTCCGCCATGCTGTCACTCACAGTCACAATTATCTCCTGGGTGTAGCTGAATTGCAGCTTGAAGTTTGACAACTGCTCGACGAGTATGGCTTGGCCGGTGGATCTCAAAGAGATGTTGTTTCTCGGTTGGCTGGGGGAAGTCACCTTTTTACCGTTTACCTGTGAAACAGCATCAGAGACAGATTTTATTGTACAAGTGAACTTCTGACTCAGCCTTCAAGCTCAATTAATACATTAGTGAGTGGCATCAGTTTTCTTGTCCAACTCTCGACATGAGAACTAACAACTGGGACTAAGCATTTCCTGAAATCATGAACCACTGCTTTACAAATACTCACCCAGATCTCCTGTTTGTTGGTGACGGTGACGGTCAGATCATTAAAGTAGATGTAAATAGCAACAACACCCCTCACACCGGACAGTCTGCATTCTTGAAACATCGCTACAACCCTGAACCAGTCAACAGCCGATTTGTTGCAGTGTGTGATGATCTCATATGCTCCCATAACAGAGATAGTGCCAGCCTTGCCACTGAAAAGAGTAATGGATCCTCCCGTCTCAATTCGACACTGTTTGGGATGGCAGCCGAGGATATGGTTCTCAACCCTGCAGTTCTCTGTAGACTTGCATGAAAAGTCCTCGCACTTCACTTCCCCAGATGTCGTACAGACACAGCGCTGATGGCAGCTGTCAGATAGCACAGACTCACCAATCTGAGGAAGAGAGTTAAACAGTTGAGAAAAAGCAGATTTTTCTCTTGACAATTATCCAGGAAAGCACACATGCGATGTAAAACCTTGGGGGGGAGAGGAAAACTCTCAAAGCAGAAGTGATGTTAAGTTTTTTGTCAAAGTGAGGGCTGAGGGCTACTTCACCTTAAAGGTACGTCCTTCGTGGTAACAACTGCAATCCTTTAGGGCAACACAGCCAGTCCCATTGAAATAGTAGCCCTCTTTACAGGTGCAGCCCTCTCTACAAGTGGTGGGGCAGGTGATGGTTTCGGTGAGACCAGGGCATGGATAGGCACAGGCTCCAGTGCAGATATGGTAGTGACTGTGTTCAGAACACTGAGCAGCTACGAAAGAAAGGATGAATATTAATGGAACAATGGCATCACATTAACTACCTGATAAGAGGCAACTTGTATCTCTGTATCTCTATCTAAACTGGTGAATCTACACTGTTCGCCTTTATATAAAATGTTAAAATGTAATCAACTCAACAAAGTGCATTGTGCAATGCAGCTCTTTCCTCAAATTTTTTTTATTTGGTTTTAAACCGTGCATGGTTTACATCGACGTTCACTAGCTTGATGTCTTCATTGCCTTTATTGGCTGACAAGGTCAACAATACTTGACAAGGATACAAACAATCTGTAATTACATCAACAGTACTTACGGCAGAAATCAGGCGTCCTCCAGTTGTCCAGCTTTACTTTAAGGGTCTGACAGTCCCTCACATATGCTGAGATGCTGTTGCAGAGCACAGCACGATTTCCCTGACTCATACAGACGTCATAGACACAATCTCTGTAGTAATACTCAGGACTGAGTTGGCTGTGGCATGCAGCTAAGGTACTATTAGGATCAAGGAGTTTTCCACAATCTTTTTCAAAGATTTTCTTTTGAGCATCATTGCATTTTGGGCACTGGTCACCACTGCAGCCATCCTCACATACCACCCCTGGAGTGGGCTCTTTCCACACTGCTCCAAAGGTTTTGACATCCTTGGTCATTTTTCCATCAGGCAGCTGAAACTCATCGGTCTTATTGTTAAAATTGCCGCACAGACCACAGGTTTCGTCTATTTGGTCTGCAGGAATAGTGACTTCAATTCTGTAGATCATGTCATAGGTCACTTTTAGGCCAAAATCAACCACGATAGCATAGACAAAGCCTTCTTGGAAGACTTTTACTCGTCCATCATTAAATGGAATGTTTGTCAAGATGTCATCCACCTAAACCACAAAGAATGCAGACAGAAGATTACATGTGTTAAGCTATCAGGGTTATCAATATAAAATGAGGATTACAATGAAGGAACAGAGTGACATTAAATTAATTAACAAACTCTAAACTATTTTTACTAACCATGAGCGATTTAAATTGATTCCTTCGGAGGATCAGGGTGTGACCGTACACCTTCACAGCAACAAGAGTGGCGACAGACACATCCGGTTGGTCTGTCATTGTCCATTTGTCGTTCTCCACAACCACAGAGAATTTGTTGTGATGCAAGCCTTCCTGATGGCACGATTTAGCTGCGGTGTAAGAGCAGGTGCCTTGGAAGTCAAAAGGATGTTGTTTGAAGTTTTTGTAATGTGGATCACCTGAGATCGTGCAGGTTGCTGTTTCCACTGGCTGACATGACTGCACATTATTCTTCAGTGTACAGTTCTCAAATGGCCCACAGGAGTGTGGATTGCAGCTCATCTAAAATCACAGAGACATTTTCAGAACAACTAAAAAGGAAGAGTAAACTTTGGTAAGGAAGTCAAATGTTGCTGTTGATAAAACGTACCCCTGTGGCATTGCAGGTGCAGTTCAGATTACAGTTTGAATCTAGAAAAGAATCCCCATTCTTATGGTATTCGCCCATGTACATACATCCACACTCATCAAAAGGCACACATTCGTTTCCACTGAGTAGGAAGCCTTCCTTGCACACCCATCCTTCCTCACATGGCTCTTTGCATTCACTGGGCGGTGATCCGTTTTCACAGGTTGCATGGCAAAGATTGGCACAGTGCTCATAGCGACCGTTTTTAGGATACATGTCCTTAGTTACGGGACAGAAGTCTTTTGTCCTCCAATTGGACACAATGACTCCTTTCTTTTGGCATTCTACAGTATAACTGTGGAGATAGTTGCACCAGGAGCCATTCTTGCCATTATGAAGGCACACATCATACACACAATTCTTAAAAAAAGAATCTGCATTTTTGATGTCATGGCAATCACGGAAGGGGCCTGAGGACTTTCGTAACAATCCGCAGTACTCATCTGTCTCATATTTTTCTTTCTGGGTGATGTCACAACTAGGACATTGACTCTTGTTCTTGCAGCCATCAACACAGCCTGGGATCTCAGCAATCCTCCAACTCTTTCCTAGTTCGTCTGCAGACTCTGCCAGCGTGCCGTTGTTCAACAGTAGGTCATCTTTAGGGTTGCGATTATAATTCCCACACAGGCCACACATTGCGCCTGCATAAGTACTGGGCACTTTCACCTGTACTGTTGAATCCCAGTTGTAAGAGACATGCAACCCGAACTTTGTCTCAATCTCAGCACGGTCCCCGAACTGGCGAACTGTTACTTTGCCTTTGAGTGTGATGGGTAAGGTAGTCATTTTTCCATTTATCTGCAACACAAGCAGGTTTAATTTCAAATGTGACATATTATCAGCTTAAAAAGTGATTAAAAATCAGCCATTCTATGATAAATTTGCTACATTGCATCTCACCAGAACTGAGCCTTTCTGATTTCTTGTGATGACAATGGAAATCCCATTAATGTTGACCTCCACCCACTTTGCACCAGAGTCAACTCTTTGCACAAGAACTTTAAACTGTTGCAGGGACGGATCTTTCAAGCAGACCCCAGCCAGCTGGTACACACAGGTGCCGTGAAAGTTGTAATCATGCCTATCAAAGTTCTCGATGTGAGGTCCTCCCGTCATGCTGCACTCAGCGTACAGCACTGGTTGACATGTGCGAAGTTGATCAACCAACTTGCACTCATAACCCAGCTGACAACCTGGTGTCTCACACTTAAGTTGCCTAGTATGTTGAAGGCATGTGCATTTCTCAGTACAGTTGTCAGTAAAGAAAGAGTCTCCCGCTTCTATATAGAGGCCTTTGTACGAGCAGCCACACTGGGCCTTTGGGACACACTCGGTGCCACTGAGCAGGAAGCCCTCGTCACAGGCGCAGGTCTCCACACAGTTTTTCTTGCAGTTTGTGGCTGCATCTGGGTTTTCACAGGTGGCCGGGCAGGCGTTCCCACAGAACTCATAATGGCTGTTCGCCGGGCATTGTGGTTTAGCTATTTCAGAGAAAATAACAATATATTATCATCACAGGATAAGTGTGAAACTCAAACAACTGATATCTTCATGTATATTCAATGGAGTTACTCACAGCAAAAGGCAAGGTGCCGCCAGTCATAGATTTTAACTCCTGCTCTCTGACAGGCATCAGCGTACACCTGCAAGGTGTCACACAGGAAGTTTTTCATCCCCTCACCCATGCACACATCATACAAACACATCTCATGAAGGACTTTGGGGTCAATGACAGCATTGCAATCACTGAGTGGTCCATCCATGACCGTGGTAAGCAAGCCGCAGAAGAGTTTGTCTTTATAGCGTCCCAAAAAGCTGTGGTTTTCACAGGTCTCACAATGGCCCGGGCATTCATCTCGACATTGGGAATCATGTGGCCCATCAGTAACCCTCCAGCTCTTGCCAAAGGCCACTACATTGTTGGTCTGTGAGCCAGTAGAAGTCACAAAGTCGTCCTCCTTTCTGGTGTTGAAGTTGCCACACATGCCGCACACCTTGCCAGAAAATGTGCCTGGCAAGCTGATGACAAGATACTCCTTCCAGTCATACTGCACTGTCAGGCCAAAATCTGTCTCCACAATGACAGACAAGCCGCTCTGGGATAACTTCACCTTGCCATTGCCCAGGTTGATAGGGAGATTCCACAATGTGTAGCTCATCTAAAGCAGATTCAGATGTTTTTGAATTAATTGACTGAAGTCATTAAAAATATGAGCAGTCATATTTGTTAAAATATCTTACTCACCCTGACAAGACCAAACTCTGACCGCACCATAGCTATAGTGTACCCATAGACCTTAATGATCACTTTGCCGATGAATGTGACCACTGAACCGGTACGTTTGCTATTCTGAGCATCAACTTCAAAAGCTGGAAGGTCTTCCCCAGCATGGCAGTTCTTGACCATTGTGTAGGTGCAGTTTCCCATGAAGTTGTAGTAGTAGCCATCGAATGTGCGATAGTGAGGATCTCCCATGGCCCAGCAGGTACCTGCTTTGATAGCGGGCGGTTTTTTGACACATGTTGGGGAGTTTCCACTCATCTTGCACACTTCATCTGCAGAACACTTCATAGTGCTGCAATCGCGTTTCTCTGACACAATGTAAGAGTTGGAGAGGACACACAAACCATTTCATTCTAAGTTTACAGCACAGTAGTATTAATATTAGTCTATGTTATGTGACTCTGTAGTGCTCTACTATTGTACATTGTACTATTGCTTGGGTCTAAAATACTGTATATACAAATATATACTATATGCAATACTATTCTATACTATATTTTACTATACTACGTTATACTATAATATACTACAACGAGTTGTTCCTTAATGTTGCATACTGTGTTATGCTATGCTATGCTGTACTTCATATAACAGTATATTTTGACTGAGTCTTTCTCCTTACCTGCTGAATCACCAGATGCAGGGGATCCATACCCGTTAGCATAAGCAACACCAAAACTGTAGACACCAAAGGGGGAGTTGGGGTGAGATATCTGGTAGAAGTTTGCCCTGGTGCTATATTGCATCTCAGCCCAGGAGAAATCAGACCCATCTACTTTATGCCAGTCAAAGTTTTCAGACTGGGGCTTGGGATCAATTTTGATGTCACCAAGGTCTTTGTTCCGAGCCACAGCTATAATGTTGTTGTAAAAATCACCTAGTCCCTTCAGGGCGTAGGAAGTGCTAAAATGACTTGTGGGCAGTATAGTCATCAGAAAGGGATCAGCATAATCATATGAGTCAACAGGACCCCCATTGAATTCAAATAGGACCTGGACACCCTTGTCAGATGTCAGATATATAGCATTTGGCCAATATGATTGTAGCTCATAAGTTTCTCCTGCATGCATTGAGTAATTCTGGACATGCCCATTAAAATTCATGCTAATTCTAGTGGGCTGGGATGCTTGGACGTAAACATTGTCATATGGACTCATAAAGATGTTATGATAAGGCAGGGGTGCAATGATGAATTCTTTCCCCCAGCTGTTCACAGGAAGAAGTTGTTCGTAGACGTGGTTGCAGGAGGTGAATTTCTGAACACAGCTATGTCCCGAGGAGACAGCAACAGGAAGATGCGAGACAACTTTCGTACCACTCAGGTCTTCTTGGCTCTGAATCTGAACAGCCTCAAACGCCTCAAGCTTTATGGTCATCTTACTTCCTCTCCTGTAATATCTCCCCAGGAATTTGACTGAGCCCTGCAGGGAGATCTCAACTGTGTTGGGCTCCTTGTGGTTGGTGATGGAAAATTCTTTAAAGCCGTCACTCTGGGAGCTGGGGGGAGTGAAAATGAAATACTCAGTCCCCCAGTCCTTCACTGGGTAAACCACAGAGGTGTCTGCTGTGAACTGCTTGAAGTTGAGTGATGTCACACTGACATCTTGGCTCGCCTCAATCAGCACAGTCTGATGGGACTTTTTGCTGCCCTTCATCTCTACGCTGTCGGGAAGCTTGAAGGATACACTCTTGCCGGGTTCAATTTCCATCACTTTGACCTCACCCACAGCTGTCACCTTGACATTGGTGCTTCCTTGGGAAGAAGGCAGAGCTGCAACTTCAACTGAGAAACGACTATCCTTACCATCACCCCCAAGGTTTTGCATGAATGATGTGGCAAACTCTCTTCCTGCTGGTAAAGCAGAGCAGAGGCCTGCAACAAAACAATGATAAAACGCAGGCAGTGAAAAATCCAAAAGTATAAAATTACTACCAGTCATTAAATGGAAGTGATTAAAGAGTTAATTAATAGTAAAAACAAAATACAATTACAAGTAAAAGTGGAGCTGGGACTCTTATGAGTCTTAACTTATAAATGATCAATGAATTTTGTTTTGTATCAATAATCGGAGCAGCCATATCTACATTCATGTAGTTAAGTATGAAGTGTGATGTTAGCATCTGGAATGTAATAGAATAAAAGTACGACAGAAAAAGACAAAAAAGTACAGAGCAAGAGTAAATGGACTTAATTTTTTAAGATTGCAGCATTTATCTCAATTGGTTTTGAATAAAGTTATTTTGTAATTCCAGACATTTAAGACATCTATTTGACTTATTTTGTTGACTTACCAATCACGACTAAACCCATGGGAAAGTAGACGAGCCCTTTCATTGTTACACCTAAAATAATGCATGCAAACACATCACCAAAATTAACCACTATACGTAGACAACACACAGACACAGAAACATTTGGAGGACAATTCAACTTTCAAAGCTCAGAAAATTTTAAATATTTTTTGGGGACAAACAATATTCTTGCAGGTCACATTTTAAGAAACAATATGCAATGAATTTATTTCCCTCAGAACATAAGTAAACAGCAGGACCTCACTCCTTTAATCATTTTGGTGAATTTCATTTATAAGAAGCAGAGTTAGTGATTTCTGGTACAACTTTGCAAACTTTCCAACAAGCGTAGAAAAGAGAAAACTTCTAAAAACTCCAACAACATGTGAATAAAGTGCTGGTGGAGTTTTGACATATTCAGACTTCCATGCATCACTAGTCCACTTTTATCAAAGCAGTTTGACAAATACAGCAATAAACCAAAATTTGGAAATGTTTAAAATAAAGTAGCTCTTTAACACTGCTAATGTTAAAGACACTGACTGATTTCTACCATTTTTAGATGTTTGGTGATTTGTTTGGTAAATAATCCCTCAGACGCCTTAAAAAATCGTTTTAGTTATAATATTTAAAAACAGCTCTTACCTGAACCAGATTAACCTGGGTTCTGGATACGCGGCCTCTCGACTGATTCCCTTTTTATTTGCTGCGGTGTCGCTGGGTAAGCCAATAAGGGAGAAGGTGTCACGTACCTGCACGGATGCCAAGTTTCCAACTATCTAATCACATGGCAAAACTTTGCATGAGGACATATATCTTGTTAGGTGAAAGAAATCAGTTAACATGTCAAGATCTTGTTTGTATCTTGGAATGGATTATTATCTGAGAAATATCAAAGTGAGCCATTAGGTTCTGACCTGACAATGAGTTAATTAAATGCATATTAAATGTGTAATACCATGTTAAGTTCAAGTTCACTTGACTTATATGAAACTAATAGGTCAAAGATATTTATCAGGTGTAGAAGAATGTGAGCAACAGATGGTTCTATTGAACCTTGAGGGTTTGGATTTTTTCTTCCAGACACTAAAAATCGATTCTGAGAGCCAAATCATGAAAACACGCAGAGTAAAAAGTCCTTATTGTCCAAGGACTGTGGACACAAGTTAAAACAATACAATTATATATGAGTTACTTTAGACTTATACAAAAGGTGAGAGGGATTTAAATATAATGAGACTGTGGCAGGCTGTGGCTTTGTCAGCTGCAGAATAGGTTTGTGATAAAACTGCACATGTTAAGGGTGGTGAATGGTTCATACCCTGAAGACACACCTCAAAAACCTCCTGCAACACAAAACAGAACAATCAAACACCGACTGAAACTTGATAACACATTATAAAAGAAGATAAACATGCTTCTTATGTGATCTGGAGATAAAAGTAGAGATCTTATGAATCAACACAAGTTAAACAGAACAATGCAGACAGCAGGAATGATTGTGTTGAGAGTTGTTTGAATTTTAGGGGAGTGAAAAACAACAAAAGTGATTCACTGACATTGAGTGATTGCATCCATTCTGCTCATGTGCAGAAGGGCAAAACATCATGAGATGTTTGGAGAGTATGAACCATCCTCTTTGATAACAGGATGCACACTCAGACAGTTTTTGAGGGAGTTAACAGAACTCTGTTACGTTTTTGGGAAAAACCACACAGGTTTCGATAAACAGGTCGTGCCACGATAAAATATTTGGTTTCTCATTCCTCCAGCATTCAGGTGTTTTTCAAGGCCTTGGGAACTTGCAGAAACAGTTTGGCATGTTACACATGTCAGCAGATCTCCCTAAAGTTCAAACTCCTTTCCCAACATATCTCCTCACCCCTTTCACCCCCACTTCCAAGCACTACACACCCACACACTCACTACCCTCGCCTATATATGCTGGTTTCTGATCCAGTCACAATACTGGAGAGGATATCAGAGCGAAATCTGCCTTTTGAAAATCCCACCACACCTCTGTGCAGCCATGACTTCAGCTGGAGGACACATAGGATTTTGGATTGTTGCTTTTCTGACTCTTCATGGTGCAAATTTTGGAGGTAATTTCCGATTCTTTGAGTATTTACACTTGATGTCTTCTTGTTCACGCTGCCCGATGCCAAGTTGTCAACTGATTACTTTGCATGAGGGCATTTATCTTGTCAGGTGCCAAATAAGATAAATGTCAACATGTCTTGTTTACGACTTGATTGCAGGTGCATTTGTGGTTTTGTAAACTTATTCTTGAGCTGTGGAGGAAAGGATTCTTGTTTGAGAAATATCAAAACAATGTATTGTGCTGTTACCTGACGTTTAATTCAATGTATATCAAATTTGTAATAGTATACTTAGATTCAATGTCAGACTATTCAATAGTTTGACTTAAATGAAACTGATGGGTCATAGATATTTATCAAGTGTAGAAGAATGTGAACAGGTGGTTTTATCGAACCCTGCACATGTGGGTTTGGATATTTCCTTCTATATCTCGGATCACGACCTGTCTTATTGTCCAAGAACCATGGATACAAGTTAAAACATTAACAAATGTAGCTGGTAACTTCTTCTAGAAGCTATGAGTATATATGCTTAATGTATTCATCCAATTAGAATGATATAAACCTCTGTGTATTTCCACAGAAACCAAAACAAACTCCCTCAATGAGCCTGATGTGCCTTTCCCACCCGCCTGTCCCACGGCCCAAAACCTGGCTGCCATTTGCCATCAGGGTCAGGGTCGACCCAGGTACCTGGCCAGCTTCTTCCCAAGCTCCGGCGCGAGCCACTTCCGCCGTCGTGGAAACGCCATCAACCGTCTGGAGTCGTGGTACCGTTCATGCTGCAGTGGCCAAGTGGTGCAGCAGAGCCACCAGATCCTGTGCTGTGCCCAACAAGCTGTGAGTCTCTGAGAGTGTTTGTAAAGACAATAACAGACAGATGCACCTGTTACTATGACAATAGATGGAGGAAGCGGTTGAGGTATCATTATATTGAGGAGAGATCCCTGTACTTTAATTAAAATATGAGTGACAACATATTTTTACCCTCTATATCAAACATGAGAGACACAGAGAGCTGCAAGTTTTAAATTATTGTCTTTTTTTTCCTGCAGTGGAAACAAGCTCTGTCTCAGTTCTGTGTGGAGGAATACTCCACCATGACTATGCCATACGAGTGCTGCGAGGACAGAGGAGACGCTCGGTGGACGTGCTTCAACAGCGAGCTGCCAAACCCAAACTACAGCTCAACACCAGGCTACACTGCACCCAACGTCCCCGAAGAGCCCGGATTCACCTTCAACCCAAACACTTGCTAAAGTAAAGATTAAAATAATAATGTTTAATCCATTTGGATAAGAATTTAAAAAAAGTATGAAAGATAACGCTGAGTTTATCCTTTGTACTTTTTTGCTGCAGGTTTTTGTTTGAGCTGCTCAGAAGAGGACAGGTCATGCTGGTTTGGTTTATGCTATGTAAGTCGAAAATTCTCAGTGCATCTTTATTTTTGTCCGCTCTATATATTAACCCAGTTTGTAACAACACGTTTCCAAATGTTCACCTTTGTTATTTCTGTCATATAGTATTCTTTGTTAGAAAAATAAAAGCTAAAATAAAGATTTTACATGATTTTGTATGAGTGAACACATAACTCAGTTTGGCAGCTTCAAATAAGAGAAATACCGATGAATTTTGAAACAAGTCTTTCAGATTATTTTCAATCCACTCATGTAATAAAAGGTTCACACATGTAATAAAACAAGTGTCCTCTAGAGTTCACTGTTGCATGTAATAGTTGAGTGTGTGACAGATCCTGAACGGCAAAGTCACAAATAAACACTTTGAGTTATGTTATTGAAAGTAAATGTAAATGTGGAATTCGCCCCAGATTACAAAAATAAATCAATAAATCACCCCTGCAATTCCTGCTTGGCTTCATAATAAAAGTGGAACATACACATACTCTTTTGTGTTTTTCTTGCACATGATCTGATTGTAATATTTCTTTGGGTTGTGTGTTGATGTTGATCTACAAAAATAAAGCACAAATCCATAAATGAATAAATAAATGTATCAAAACATGCATTTAAACATTCTATAATATCTTAAATTAAATAAATGAATAAATACTATATTTGTTTTAATTGGGGGTGGTGCACACAGTGAAGTTCTTGGTAGTTTGGTTGGTGGTGATAACAAGTTGTTTTATTGTGATGTTGCGTTTTATTGTGAAGGAGTTTTTTTTTTAACCGGAAGTGCTGTGCTAGCTCATGCTAACAGAGCTGGGCACAAAACAGCCGCTTCCGCACTGCTTCCTTGTTTATTAGTTTCAGGAAAAAGTGTTTTATCCAAATAGAGAAAGTTGCACTTTCTTTCACAGGAAACCGAGAGAAGTCCCTCGCAGGTTTTCCGGGTGAGTGATCAGTTTGTTCGTGTTGTTGTGGCTCAGTTACCGGGTTCAAAACATCTGGGTTTAAGTTAGAGAAAGTTAAAGTGGAGTTAGCAGCTAGCTCACTCGCCTCTGTTTGGTTTAATGTCGCAATCCAGACATCCTGGTTGTTATTATGTTGGCCTGTTTCAACACGTACCGCTGCTCTCAACATTCACAAACACTTCCCCTTTGTTTTTACCCTGGTCTGCTCCTCCATCAGCTCAGTCAACGTGGCTGGAGTCAATACTTGTGGCATGAAGTCATCAGGAGTGGTTTTAATTAATGAGTTCTACACTTTGTCCTCACAGGCCTTCACCCACCTGAAGTCTCCTCTCCGCCGAGGAGAGACTGAAGATCTGAGCTCCACCTTAAACGAGTGTTGAGTTCAGTGACTGCTCTGAATGGCCACAGCTGCAGAGGAGCCTCCGGGGCTGCAGGGCCACACTGGCAGTGAGTACTTTGTCTTTATTCACTTTCTCTATCTACCCCTGGATGGTGTAGATGAAGTATATTTTTTAATCAGAAGTTGGTTTACCTGTTAGGTTAAAGGTTCAGTGTGTAGAGTTTCGAGGTACAGTTGCATGTTGCACCTGAACACCTCTCACCTCATCCTCCCCTTCCAAACACTGTGGTGCCTTCAGGTGTCATAAAAACCTAAGGTGTTTAGTGTGAACATTTTGGAATACTGTAAAAAACGATGGTGGTCTCCGTAGAGACATGTTGTAAATATAAACTATTGAGATATAAAGGTCCCATTCTACAGTAAAGAAAACCACAATTCTTACAATTTAGATGCTAGTGAAAACATCACTCAGATTATGTTATATTTAATTTCTTAAAAGGTACTTGTGCTTGAGTGTTCTCATTTTATGATAAAAACAAGTAAAATGACACATTAGTGTCATAATAATCAAATGGTTCTCTACTGACTTCTTTTACTTTTTAGCCCATTTTTCTGATTACGCTAACACACTTTTACTGTAACAAAATTATTTTTACTTATGGTTTAGAAAAGATGGTTATTTATGTTTAAATTTTAGTAAATAAATATGTATATTTTGTTAATTCGAGTTCGATATATTTGCTTGTAGTTTTTTATCGCACTAAACTTTTTTAGAGTGTAGTATTTGTACTTTGAATTAGTAGTTGACTCCCTCCAGCACTGACACAGGTACACAAACATTGACTCATTTTGTTAGGTGTTCCTGTTGATGTACATGTTTTCAACAACTCAGCAGCTTATCACATGACTAGTTAAAGAGATGATTCACTATTCAAAGTTCAATACACCTGCTTACCAGTTATATATTAATATTTTATTATTCCCTTTATTATTATGTAGTTCTCATTTTCTTAGGTTTAGGATTGTGGTATTAATATTTTGTCTACCATTCTTATAAACAGGTTTATCAAATACATTTACAACTGAGAGTAAATAAACTGCTGGAAATAAAGGTTCACTACAGCACAGAGCAAAGGTCTTAAAGGGACACACCAGGAATTTCCACCTTTCAGTTTTGCTGTGTGTCTTTATTATCTTCAGTTTTGTTGCTCATGTACAAGTAACTACAATATTTTGACAATACAGTAAACTGTCATTTGTTCAGAATACTGTCTGGGATTTCATTTCATACATTAAACCACTATTTAGTCTCTGGCGATTTACGTTGCAATTTCCTCAAGCCATCTCATGGTCAGTCAGAAATCAAAGAAGCTAAAGACAAATACTTTTTATTCCCAGGATAGTTCAAGCTCCCAAGATAGTACAAGACAGTACTCTCCATTTACAAGGACATAACCCTTTTCAGACCTTGTTGTTTGATATCTAATGTCCAGTGTGAGAACTGTGTTCTTTGCATTTCTTGTGTAACTTGTATGTTTCCTTCCTTTTCTCACTTCAGATTCGACTGGGCCTCGTAAAAATGGGAATGCAGAGGTAAGAAAAAAAGTACTTGTTTGAAGGAAATGTGTAATCCAGTCGCTTAGGAAACACACATTGCATTCATCTTTAGCAGTTTGGGATTTACCAATATTTAGCTGACACATCCTCATTTCCTTCCTCTTTGAAACGTATTGCTGCAAACTCTCTGTGAATATTTTGCTCTTGTAATTCTCCAGTATGCCATGTTTCTTTTGACAGGGTCCAAGCACGAGCATGACACAGGCCCAGAAAAAAACAATTGGCCATCGCGGAATTGATCCCACTGGAGAGACCACGTACAAGAAGGTGGGAGATCGTCTCGACACTGACTTTAAAATGTGCACTGTCAACGCACATTCAGCAAAAGTTACTTGCCTCTGTGACGTGCTGAACATTAAATTTTAACATATTTTGTCTTTTGATACATTTTCTCTGTCTTCCAGACGACCTCATCGGCCCTGCAAGGTGCTATCCAGTTAGGCATCACGCACACAGTGGGCAGCTTAAGCCAAAAACCTGAGAGAGATGTCCTGCTGCAGGATTTTGAGGTTGTGGAAAGCATCTTCTTCCCCAGGTAAGGATGACATTATAATTATAAAGTAAGGATACATGAATGTTGATGCTTAAATGCGTGTCTCAACTCTTACATCTGGATGTTGTGTCCGTACCAGAATAACACTCCTTTTCTTGACCTCCCTTGTACGTAGTGTAATCTTGTGACCCCTTTATCTTTTATTGGCAGTGAGGGCAGTAACATAACACCAGCACATCACTACGGAGACTTCAGGTTCAAAACATACGCCCCTATCGCCTTTCGCTACTTCAGGGAGATGTTTGGCATCCGCCCTGATGACTACATGGTATTTTTTCATTATTCAGCATTTTTTGTGTTCAACAATTTTCAAAAAGAAGGAGGTTTAAGAAGAAATGAATGACTGAGTAACTGGAAAGTGTGACACACTAGAGTTGATAAAGACACAATACTGATGTTTTCTATTGTTTGTTCTCTCTTGTCACGTCTTTGTTTTGTTATCACATGTTTAACCACTGTGTTCTGCTCTGGTTTCAGTATTCTCTGTGTAATGAACCACTGATTGAGCTGTCAAACTCTGGAGCCAGTGGATCTCTTTTTTACGTCTCCAGTGATGATGAATACATCATTAAGACCGTGCAGCACAAAGAGGCTGAATTCTTGCAGAAACTGCTCCCAGGATACTTTATGGTAAGCTCCGTTGAACAATTTGAAAAAGTCATCAAATAATTTACTCAAAGTAGACACACAATCACTTGTGAACAAATATATACAAGTACAGTCAGTTAAAACAAGTATTTTGAGTGTGTAATGGAGAGAAGTGGTGTCCATAGGCCTTATGTAGCAATATTGTGCTATATATATTAAATGGCCTTATTGAATTACCAGCAGAATAAATCAGCTGAAAAACACAGGCAACAAATGTATTGCTAGGCAACACAGTAGTTCTTGATGTTCTCCTCTGGAACAGCCAGTTGTTGCTTACGTGTGTCCGAACGTCTCTCTGAGTCATATGCTATGTGAAGTAACCCATAAGCTCTTCAGATGCTGTAACTCTGCATCATTTGTATAGGACAACATGTTTACTTGTGGCTTGGAATGCCTACTTATTTATTCCATCTATTCAGCAACTATGTGCATTTCAGTTTACTTTAGCTGCCTCTCTTTCTAGTCAATGAAACTGATACTTGTTTAATGCTGTTGATATTTTCCCTCCTTCCTGTTTCTTCCTCTAGAACCTGAACCAGAACAAGCGCACTTTATTACCAAAGTTCTATGGACTCTACTGTGTCCAGGCAGGAGGTAAAAACATCCGTATTGCAGTCATGAACAATTTGCTCCCGAGTGCAGTGAAAATGCACCTCAAGTTTGATCTGAAGGGCTCCACCTATAAGAGACGGGCCTCAGCTAAAGAGAGGGGCAAGACTGTGCCCACATACAAGGACCTGGACTTCATGCAGGACATGCCTGAGGCGCTGTTAATGGAGGCGGACAAATACAATGGTGTTTGCAAGACCATTCATAGAGACTGTCTGGTGAGGACTAAAGAAAAATGCAACAAGCATGATATGGTTGAATTCATTTTAGATGAAAATCACAGTCATACAACAGAGATTCACATTTCAAGTTCACCTGTATTTCAACCTCTGCTCTCATTCAACTTGTTCTTAATTTCTATTCAGCTCTTGCAGAGTTTCAAGATAATGGACTACAGCCTCCTGGTGGGAGTCCACAATGTAGATCAGGCCTGTCGAGAGCAGTTGAGCGAAGAGGCTGGGGCAGCGGCCATGGATCAGCGGAGGCCACTAGGCCAAAAGTCCCTGTACAGCACGGCTATAGAGGCCATCCAGGCCGAGTCAGGGAGCATGGGATCACTGGACACAGAGGACAAGTGAGTGACAGGGATTCTGTAGCCAAAGAATGACCCTGTGAGGCAACTTGCTTTCAACTATCTCCCTCACCACAATGAGTTTTGTACTGAGAGGAACGACTGAGGACTAAATTGGATTTCTTTTTGTTTTATTTTACAGAACTGGAGGAATACCAGCAAGAAACTCAAAAGGCGAGAGGCTGCTGGTGTACATTGGTATCATTGACATTCTGCAGTCCTACAGGTAAGCAGTAGATACAAGTGGTCTATCTACCAACTACTTATTCAGTCTCGGACAAATACACAGCGCCTACATAACCCAACAGTAAAAGCAGCATGATAGCAGTGCAGCAGCTGTCCTCCACCTGGGTGAGACTGAGATAGTGAATGTGATGCATTTCAACTGCATCACATTCACTATCTGAGCCAACACCAAGGTCTGTCTGTTCTTTAAATGCAGGTTTGAAGTGGATTTCAGTTGAATATGTCTGCTGTCAATGTATCATGTGAAACTGCACGTGTCTGTTCACCGAACTTCTGCAAGTAATCTGCACTTCCGTGTGTTGTTTTTCAGATTAGCCAAGAAGCTTGAGCACTCATGGAAAGCTCTGGTTCACGATGGGGTAAGATTCCTCTGCTAGCCTCAGTTATAGTGCTTTAAAAAAAGAAATTACAGATGTCAACTTATAATCATTCCTTTTCTTCAGGATACTGTATCAGTGCACAGACCAGGCTTTTATGCAGAGCGATTTCAGAAGTTCATGTGCAGCACAGTCTTCAGGAAGATCCCATGTATGTAAAAATACCTAATCTGTCAATGAGCATGCATCATGTCAGTCTCTCTCAATGAACACCTTTCTTTCTCTTGTCTCCAGTGAAGAACTCTCCATCTAAGAAGCGGCGTGCAGTGACCCATGGTCCTCTTAGAAAAACAGCTGGCTCTGGGCCTCTTTTCATGTCACAAACCAGCAGCAGCAGCCAGCAGACTTTCCTCCAACGTCAAGTCAGCACTGAGACAAGAGATGACACTGATGGAGACAGTTGTAAGTGCAGGAAAAAAAGAAGAGCCAGGGTTTTTTAACTGTAGCATATGAACCAAATAATGGGCACTGTTAACCGCAGAGATTAAGTCTTGCAGCATGTATCAGCCTGTGAAGTTCTTCTTTCACAGCACGGCACTAACAGTTTTCCCGCCCTCTTCTTACAGTCATGCCGTCAGGTCGTCCTGACCTCCTCCCTAAGGCCTCACCACCCAGCAATGCTGCTGGCAACGCAGCCGATACCACATTCTGCTCCTCCTCCTCCTCCCTGGGAAACTCTGGTTCCACTCTCATAACTCAGCCTCTGACTCACTCCCAAGACACAAGCAGGTCAGTGGGAGTGGATTTAAACAGCATGTTGAGTAAAGCTATGGAGCGCAGCACCCCCAAGAGGTAAGACAAAAAATGTGTATTTTAGTGAGAGATCCAAAGGAATAACTGGATTAAAAACTACTTTCAACTTTTAAAAAATATAGTGCAATAAAGAGATAGATTTTCCAGTTTTAAGAACCAGGATGTGTTCATGCTTCTATTGGCAGCACCTAACCAGAACCATTTGAAACCTGAGAGGGACTGTTGTAATTGGTACATAGACTGGGGGTGATGGCTGTAAATGTTCCTAAACCAGAACTTAAGGGAATTCAGCGTGAATTCAGCAGTACATGTTCAAAATAGATATCAGGAGAATTAAAACTAAATTACAATGTCCTTGAGTCTTTCTGTACACATTTTTCATTCACTCCTCTGTTTCTTGTTTTCAGAGCTCCGTCCTCGTCTCTTGAAGAAAGTTTTGGCACTGATGGTGCGATCTCACTCAGTGACATAACTCTTAACACAAGCAAATGTTCTGTAAGTCAATTTTCTCGAACTTCTGTGTTTGTTCTGTGACACTTGACTCACTCCATGTGGTTTTCTAACCAGGTTCATCGCTTTTGATTTGCAGGTATAAATTCGGGGAAAGGAATGAGAACAAAATGAACCCGGAACAAGCTTGGAGGATGTTATGAACATGGATGAAATGTTACTCACTTATTGTGATTTGAGGTACCCTAACCAGAGAAGTGGGGACCAAATGGGATATTTTTGTTATTACTTTTGCACTTTTCCAAATCTCAACATGGGAGGAGCATGTTACTATCTGATCATGTTCTGACACTAATAATTGTTGGTATATTAATGGTTTGGGTATCGAATACTATTATTCATCTAATGAAATGAAAATGCCTATATGCACAACCAAAGATTGTTCATGGCACAGATGTGCTCAACTAAGCCAGTGTACGGTGTAGAGTTTAACTTGAGGACTTATTTGAGAACAACATTTCCTTATTCAATCCCAGAAAATTTAATATTCATAATGTTGTTTGATTCCTCATTTTTATTTACCACATTGTTGCAGCACATCATCAAGCATACCTTACTCTTTATGAGAATAAAGATGAGAATGCTGTTCCTACCATATGTTCGATCCAGGGACTTTAACACAAAACTATATTATCTGGATTGGGAACATAATTTTCCATAAAGGGTTTATTTTTTAGAGCAAATACTGTTTTCATACGTATTAATCTGCAGTTTTTTCAGTTTACTCTAAATGCAAATTGTGCTGGAAAAGATGCCTGATCCTCAACCCGCAGTTTCTTATGGACCTGTTCTTCTGTCGAGACTGTGAGTCCTAAATGTCATCTCTCGTGTTCTGCTCAAAGTGTGATTTTTATTTTTAAAGGTCATTTTTTAAATACTTCTACACTGTACGATCTGATTTCAGTCTTAGGCTTAGTGTGTAGATAGTTTATGACCAAATGTGACCAACAAACAGACCTGGGACCTGTCTAATGAAAGTTTGGAATGAACTTCGTCTTCTCATTTAGTGGTTGCCATGGTAACTAATGCCACTGACCAACCCTGGAAAGAGCAGTTAGAAATAAGAGACCGTCAACCTCACTAATCAAGTGCCAAAGAGCACAGGACGACTTTGTTACAAAATCGTGTTACAATCACTTTGTTTTGTTTTCGGTATCATGAAACTGAAAATGTACGTATTAATAGTAAGTGTTTAAAGTACAGTGCCCCACCTTGGCAACAAATGGTACTGCAGAGCATAGCTAGTTAGTGGTAGTGCTTAATATTAATTTACCAAACTTACAACTCAAGTGCATATAACAGGGAGACACTGCCATTGATGCACAAGACCAGGCATTAAGACACACCAGCAGCAGTTTCGGATCTGGAGATAAAGACTAGAGGCTGATGTGCAGGAAAATAAAGGTCTTGAGCACAGCTGCCACCTTTAAGCCAGGGAGTTTTGTAGCTACTTTTGTTTTGTCATATAGGCTACATTTTAACATCACAACATATATTCCAGGACAACGTAGAAAGGTTTATACAAGTGTGAATGTCAGTCCTCAGTTCTATGAGTTAATCTGAGTTTATCTGTCCAAAACAACTAGGGTGGTAAGAGTTTTAACTGTGCGTCTGGATATTTCATCCATACACTTGGGTGGCACTGCTTTTTAGAAATGTTCTCACTATTTAATAACGTCTGCTGCTAAAAGTAAAAAAAACTATGCATCAGTAAATATAATATGGATTATACACATGTTGGGTGATAGCCTTGAGTTGAAAACCTATACATTTCCACACTGATTTATGAAATATTGCCTTTATTGTTTGATTGTGATGTATACCTTTTCTTCCTCCTTTTTGTATTCATGTGGTGTATTTAGTATTTCCTAAACAGTACTAACATTTGTCTTTTTGTTTTGATTACATTGTTTATTGGTAGCTTTTTGTTGAATTTTCCACACAGTAACAGTAACAGTCTCTAATTAAATTCACTGTTGACATCTGCATAGTTGATTTGCTGATGCTGCATGTGATTGGCTTGTAATTAAGAACCGCTGTCATGTGCACAAGCTTTCTGTTGGACCGGTGAACCCAGGGTTAACACAGCCGGTTGTTTGAACGTTGTGAGATTTGTTTTCTAGAATCACAAATGTGTTCTCACAACTTTGATTTTTTTTTTCTATTGGAATATGTGGTGATGGCTGCATAACAGTTGAAAAGGGAACAAGACAAAACCGTCTGTCTGCTTTTTGCAAACTAAAACTGGTAGAAATACTGTTGGTGATTTAAACGTTGTTTTGTGCAGTGTTTTAACATGATCTGATGGTTTGGTAACTTTAACCATACTGTGTGTATATGTGAATTTATAGACTGTGCAATACTTTAGGTGAATTGACAATTTTCCAACCAAGATGTGATAAATAAACATAAATTGGGCATTTTCACACAACTTTTAAAATATCTGTATGAGTCGTCTTTTTTCCATCTGGCTGACACATGTAACCGTCTCAAAATGCTCACTTCCAACATTGAAAGTGAAACTGTGCCTTATTTTTTTTAAAAAGCAGTCAAACATACAGTCCATAGACTAAATATGTTAATAGTCATATTTATATTTATTACTATTTGTCAACAACTGGGGAAACTTCCTGCATTCTTTTCTGATATACTTTTGAATTGTATGATATAAATATGTGCACGTCTGTACACAGGGAACACAGCAGTGCTTTTTCACAGAATATGAAATTACACGTTGTCTTGCTCTTTCGGTGGGTGTGCTGTTCTTGTGAACTTGTGCCTGAAGTTATTAAAGAAAAAGAAAACCCATGTATAAGCCTTTGTTTGACTATATTACATTATATAGATCTTCCACTCTATGTGTTTCTAATCCATACTGTTGCATCCTATTCATATTTCTTGGGTATTACACCCTTGCAAGGTTGTACAGGTGAATCAAATGTTAGATTTGAACTTTGATTGAATAAGGTAACTTTATTAAGCCGATGGAAGTTTAAAAAAATAAAATAAATTGATGTTGGGTTAATGAAGCTGCAGGGAACCAAACCTGACCAATCAGATTCCGCTTTGCTGAGCCTTCAACCAATAGCGTGCGAGCTTGTGAGATCGCGACAGAGAGCAACAAGAAGTTTCCAAGATGGTGCTCGAAAGTACGATGGTCTGGTAAGAGCTGCATTAAGTAGTTTTTCTTGTGGTTTTTGATCAGATATCGGATCATACGAAGACTTGTTTAATATTTATTTGATTAGGGGTTTTCACAGAGCGGGATTTGAAGGAAATATCCCGGGAACTGAGTTAATAAATGGCCGTTACCGGTTAGCAGGCTAACGCTATGTCGACCGTCGGCTGAGTCATTGTGGCTAAAAGTAGCTCGGATTTCCCATCGTTTTAAATATTCAGTTGATTAACCACGTTTTTAAATGTCACTATTTGCATTTTAGTTCTTTCTAGTTGAATTATGAACTGACAACTTCAGATAGTCGGTTGTTTACAATGAGCGACAGTGGTGTCACCGCCTGCTAACGTTAGCTTGACTTGCTAATGTCTTAAAATCTGAAACGTCAGCTCGTTCACCAACTCCTCGGCGAAGAAAAAGCCCTTCATCGGGAGAGCTGGTGACGAAGAGGAAGATGTGTCGTTAATGGAAACTCACCGCTGCGCCGAACAAGGTCGAGGTCGACGTGTTTGCTAATGTGAGCTGGTTGTGTTTTGTCCTCAGTGTGGACAACAGTGAGTACATGAGAAATGGAGACTTCCTGCCGACGAGGCTTCAGGCTCAACAAGATGCTGTCAACATCGTGTGTCACTCCAAAACACGCAGTAACCCCGAAAACAACGTGGGCCTCATAACTATGGCGAAGTAAGTTTCTATTTCCTCATCAAACAAAGAACTCGAAAGTGGGCACTTTCCACAGACACATCTGTATCGGAGGATCTAAAAGGCACTCGTTATTTATCAATGTACTCAAACAGGAAAACATCAGTGTTAACTTAATTTACTCCAGCATCAAATCATTGTTTTATCACTGATTTAATCTTTTATTTTGTTGATTTACATAAAGAATAGTGAGAAATCCCAGTTCTGATTTCCCGCAGACAAAGCTGACGTCTCCAGATGTCTTTAATCTGAACAGTCAGAAAGATAATTTAGCCTGAAATAGCTTAAATTATAATTTGTTACTACTTTTGTTGTTGTTGTCATTTTAGTAATTGCTGCTGCTCTGAATACAATGTTGTTTTTGTTCTGCATGATCGCTGATGTCAACAACAGGATGTTTCAGTGCTACTGTAACACTGACTCTGTTTTCTTGCAGTAACTGCGAGGTCCTGACCACGCTGACGCCAGACACCGGCCGCATCCTGTCCAAGCTCCACGCTATCCAGCCCAGAGGAAATATCACCTTCTGCACGGGCATCAGGGTGGCTCACGTGTGTAAAATTTTCTGATTATATCCAGTGTCTAAAACAAGAGCAGGACCCATTAATTATGATTCAGCAGTGAACGATTTTGTGATGCCACTTTTTTTTTTCCCTGTGTAGCTGGCCCTTAAACACAGACAAGGAAAAAACCACAAGATGAGGATCATTGCCTTTGTTGGGAGTCCTGTGGAGGATAGTGAAAAAGATGTGAGTTGGAAGCTTTGTATCATATTTTGTACCAGAGATAAATGTGGATTTCCTATTGATACATAATAGGTTTTACATTTGTTCTGACTGTCTGTCCCAACCTGTCACTTCTGCAGCTTGTGAAGATGGCAAAGCGCTTGAAAAAAGAGAAAGTGAATGTGGATATTATCAACTTTGGAGAAGAGGTGAGGAATCAATTTGTGTAAGACAGTGATTTAAAATAAAGTATTGGGGGTTTTTTTTGCATTGTATTTATAAAATAAGTTTTCTGTTGCCCTTACCCTCTTTCTTAAACTGTTTTATTTAGGAGTTGAATACAGAAAAGCTGACAGCTTTCATAAATACTCTTAATGGGAAGGAGGGCACAGGCTCCCATCTGGTCACAGTCCCTCCAGGGCCCAGTCTGGCTGATGCACTGCTCTCCTCTCCCATCCTGGCTGGTGAAGGCGGCGCTATGATGGGTCTTGGTGCCAGTGACTTTGAGTTTGGTGTGGATCCCAGTGCTGATCCAGAGCTGGCACTGGTAAGCAATATAATAACTATCAATATCCCATTTAGGATGTATGAACAAATATGTCTCGAGTTACCGTTCACATAGCAAATATGTGTCAGCTCCAAGGAACCGGACTAATGTTAGAATCCACTGATCTGCACAGAAAAATAAAGACAATGTGATGCAGACGATATAGAAGGGATCTAAAATAGCCACAATAAAGGAATACATGCATTGTCTAGACTAAAATCCCATGATAAACATTTTGAAGTTTGGAAAAACCCATGAAAAGTTGAGGAATATCCCTTTGTGTTGCCTTATATACTCAATTAGGGTTAGGATTGGCATATCGTCCTGACTACCTCCCATACTGCCATATTTTAGTAAATTTAGTCTGTTCTTATTTACTTAATGTCTTTGACCAATTTTAAAGAAAGAGTCAGAAGCCCTTTGTCTATTGTCTCACTGTTTCATCTCTATGCATTTTCAGGCCCTCCGCGTATCGATGGAGGAGCAACGACAGAGGCAGGAGGAAGACGCCCGCAGAGCTGCTGTCGCTTCTGCAGCCGAGGCCGGCGTGCCCACACCCAGCGCAGATGGTAATCTGAGAACTGACTTCACCTAAGCAACAATAACGTTTGTAATAATGGTTTGGATTTAATTTAACTATATTTTTAGCCTTTAACTGAATTTTGATTGATTTTCACACAGAGTCAGAGGAGGCCTTGTTGAAGATGTCAGTATCTCAGCCTGAGAGCGGTGCAGCGGTGCTTCCTGACTTCAACAGCATGACTGAGGAGGAGCAGATCGCCTACGCTATGCAGATGTCTCTTGCCGGTGGAGGTGAGTTCCATTTGATTATCTGCACATTTGCTCCTGATATAATTTTTAGCTGCTCTTATATTTGCAGTTGTTTTTATTAAAATAGTGATAATAATTTTTTTTTATTCCCGTGAACAGAGTATGGTGAAATGGACACAGGAGCCGCCATGGACACTACAGAATCAACCAAGGTGAGTCATCCTCCACCCATCCATTATTTACATAGCTTATCCTTTGAGGCTCGTGCTTGGATGAAGATGAAACGCCCCTGGTTGAGTCATTCATACAAATAACCACAAGACTGAACATGAAAATGTCAAGAGAAACGTGAGGTACTACTTCAGAACTAGAGTTTAGTAGGAATCATTCAATCACTTATCTTAAAACTGTGCCACTAACATCGACAGGAAGACTATTTTTTACTTTTTAGAAGCTTTATTAAACTTTCAGCAGTTAAATTATGAGAATGGATATTATTCATATATACGTACATTCACTAATGTTTACCTTCACACGAGGCACGTCCACATTCAAGACCTATTAGATCTTAAAACCTAAAAAAAGACAGAATGGATCCAACTGACTTATATCTTTTATTGTAATTGAATAGGAGGAAGATGACTATGATGTGATGCAAGACCCAGAGTTTCTCCAGAGCGTCTTGGAGAACCTTCCCGGGGTCGACCCGAACAACGAGGCTATCCGCAACGCCATGGGCTCCTTGGCCTCCCAGACAGGAAACAAGCCAGACGGCAAGAAGGACGAAGAGAAGAAGAAATGAGGGGAAGAAAAGAAACTGGCAGAGACTCCAGATGTTGACTAGAAAAAATTGAACAATTTGCAGACGAATGCATTATTAATTTTATGTATGAATAGATGCTTTGTCCTGCATGACGCCACTGGGACCGACATTTAATACTCTCCTATTTGAAAAGCACCAACATGCAAGAAATAAAAAACCTACAGTCTTGATTATCTAGTGTGATATCTGACTACCCAGTTACATACATTTATTTGATCCTATAAATGGGATTTGGGCCTCGTGTGGTCTTTACCCTACATTTTCCTACAGGGTGTTATCACCCATCATTCATCCAGGAGGGACGAAAACAATCAGCCACACACTCCTGTTTCGTCTTTGTGTGTTTTTGCAATAAAAAAAATCTATACGTTAGTACATTTTCCTTGTGATGTTTTTTTTTGTTCTCTGGTCCTGACAGAGAACCGTCAGCTCCTCACAGAGACAGGTGGCTCCGCGGGATGTTTAAAGACGTGAGGACACAGGTGAATGTTCGAAGTCGTTTCATGCGGAAAACAAATGTACGTGTCGCTAGCAGCATCCTCCTCGGTGCATTTTCCCAGCGCGATCACAGCCTGATAGGATGTCCTGGATCATGTGACGGGAAGCGCCGCATTTTCAGCTGAAAACGAGCTAGGATAGTCGGGAATCGCACATCCAGGTAAACAATCAAAATACATGAATATTAAAGGCAACTCCCCGTCCCGGCCATCCTCTCCTCTGCCATCGTCGACCCTCCGATCACCGGGTCTTCACCGCTGTGATACCACACCTCGGCAGACCGGCTCCGGTTGCCTGTTTGTGTCTAACGGGGATCGCTAGCTCGTTAGCTAAATGACCCCTCTGTCTCGGCTGGAGCTCAGCGGCCAGCTAGCCAGCCCCAGTCGTTGGGGTGAGGGGGGGGTAACATCGCTAGCTTCCAAAATAAAGCGAGGTCGCCGTCCGGGTTGAACCGACTCTCAGAATGTCACCACCGTAAAGCTGCTGCGTGCATCCAAAGCTTGAATGAATCCGGGTCTTGCTTTCATCGCATATCGGTGCTAAAGCCTCAAACCAGAGGAGCGTCTGGGTGCAGAAACGGCGACGCTAGCATGCTAGCAGGCTAATGTATGTGCTACCTATAAAGCTTCACTGATAACAAGCTAACCGGCTGTAGCTTGTCAGGTTCTGTCGAACCCATGTGCTCGGGGATGTTAGCGTCGTAAATACAAACATGTAAAAGCCCTTGAATGATTTGAACGTGCTGCATGTTGGTGGTTGAGTGGCAGGTTTTTGTTTTGGTGGACAGAGCAGCACAAGTTCATGCTCGGTCCCTCTGCTAACATGTCTGTTGTGTTTCCACAGGAGGTAATCCCGGCATGGGGGACATGAAGACCCCAGATTTCGATGACCTGTTGGCAGCATTTGACATTCCTGACATCGATGCCAAAGAGGCCATCCAGTCTGCCCCGGAGGAGGCGGAGGGGCCCCATGGAGCCGCAGGAGCCACCCTGGGGAAGCAGGACAGTGTGGTGGGTGTCGGGTCATCCCTGAGACCGCCAAGCCCAGCTGACCCGCAGGCGGACACCTCCATTGTCAGCGTGATTGTGAAGAATAAAGTACGACTGGAGACCGTAGATGGAGACGAGGGGGACGCAGACCAGGACCCTATTGATGTGATCGCGGGGGTTGATGTGGGTCCCAGACTGGGTGCCTGTGCCCCTGGGATGGCTGAGTCTGAGGCTTTGAACCACAACGGTTTTGGGGCGTCCGGTGTCTCCACGCCCCTGCCCCTCAGCCAGGCCCAGTCCAACGGAGCGCCGTGGTCAATGAACTCCCCCAAAGTGTCTTCAGAAGCAGCAGGTGCAAGTAAGGCGCACAAGCAAGGGGGGAACATTTTCAACAGACTCAAACCGCTCGTGGCACAGGGGTCTGGAGATCCAGTGGGTCGGGCCAGGAAGATGCAGCTTCTTCAGCAGCAGCACCAGCAGCAGCAGGACACAGGCCAGGAGAGGGCTGATGGGGTCAAAGCATCATTACCATCGTCCTCCTCTCTATCAGCGGGGTCTTCTCCTCTGGCTGCTGGTGGGCCCGTCGGTCTAGCCTCACCTTTCTTTCCCCCTTCCAAGCCTCTGCTTCCAAATCCACCCTCTGCCCTCTCATCACACCCGCTGCACTCGTCTCAGCCTTTTAACGGAGCTCCCAAAAGTGGTCCCGCTGGTTTTCAGCACCAGCAGATGGAGGAGGATGATTCTGACCCTGATTTGGGGAGTCCGCTGGTGATCCAGGAGACCCCAGACTCCCCGACCTGCACTCAGCTGACCCAACGTTACAAGTCAGACTCTGTCTCAACTCAGCCTACATCCTCTACTTCGTCTCACCCTAAACCCGGGGACACTCCATCTGGGGCATCTCTGACTTCCTCAACCCCACAGTCTGGCTCAACGGAGATTCCCCAGCTGGAGGACCGGCACCCAGAACATGTCATAGAAGAGAGGGACTCTCCAGAAAGTCCTGAGCCAGAGATCCCAAAATCAACTGCTCATGTCAGCACGAAGAGGTGCTCCAGCCCCGCAGTGGCCTCCACTCCACCTCCTTCTGAGCTGCGGGAGCCCAAAGAGGAGGAGGAGGAGATGGAGGTGGGGAATGGGATAGATAGGGATGTTGATGGCAAAGCTGACAAGGGAGAAAATGCGAGAACGAGTGAGGAAAAAATGGAGGTAGATGATGGGAAGCCTAAACCCCCTTCCACTGATGGAGATGTTCCTGCACCTGCTGCTTCTGGAGCGCCGTCCCGACCCTTGAAAGTCAGAATAAAAACAATTAAAACCTCCACAGGTGGAATCACCAGAACTGTCACCAGGGTGGCGCCTAAAGGTGCTGCTGCGAAAGGTTTGGACGCTAAAGCTCAAAGTGGAGAGAGAAAGCTGCTGGGAAACAAAGCCCAAAAACTTGAAGCGTCCCCCGGTCACATGACAACAACATCCCAGAAAGTAAGTGCTCTCAATGCTCTGCCTGTGTCCACACTCGCAGCCAGCAGCGTGATGCTTGCTGCCGCCACGAAGGTTCAAAACAAAATGGCTGCATCTGACAAGGCCAAGGTTTCTGCCACTGCTGTGAGCATTACCAAATCTGCTGCTCTGCCTGCGACTCCAGCTGTGACCTCCTCTCCCAAGTTCTCTGTAGCTGCCGGTGGGATCAGCGTACGCACAGCCACTAATAAGACGGCTAATGGAGGCAGTGGCACCCTCTCTCCGAACAAACCCGCTTCCATCGTCAACAGCACAGGGGCTGTCATCTCCCGCAGTCAGTCGAGCCTGGTGGAGGCCTTTAACAAAATTCTAAACAGTAAGAACCTTTTGCCGAGCTACAAGCCTGACCTCTCTGCCCCCCCGCCTCCAGAGTGGGGTCTCCCGCTCCCTGCCACAGGGTACCGCTGCCTGGAGTGCGGAGACGCCTTCGCCCTGGAGCGCAGCCTGGCTCGCCACTACGACCGGCGATCGCTTCGCATTGAGGTGACCTGCAACCATTGTGCTAAGAGACTGGCCTTCTTCAATAAGTGCAGCCTGCTGCTGCACGCCAGGGAGCATAAGGAGCGTGGGCTGGTCATGCAGTGCTCGCACCTGGTCATGAGGCCTGTCACCGTGGAGCAGATGATTGGACAGCAGGACATAACACCCATTGGTGGTAAGTTGGGCTGCAGCTGTCAATTATTTAAATCAATCAACTAATCATCCCAATCTCACAGAGCCCATTTACAGCCACATAAAAAAAATTCAATTCTTACATTTTGAGAGGTCGGAAACAGAAGAAACCCGACCTTTACTTTGAGGAATCACAAAAATTAATTCATCAAATCCTTTTGCATAAAGTTTGTTTGATGCTTCGGAGTCAGTTTGACGCCCGTTCAACAGTCCAACAACAAACTCTCAAGATATTTATTTTATATTTTATACCAAAATAGAATTCAAAAAGCTAAAAGTATTTACTAGGTTATCAAAAATCTTTTTTGTTATTGAGCCCTACAGACGTTTTAATCTTTTATTTGTGTAATTAATTATGACAGAACCATTAAGATCTGTTACTCTGCTGATATCTCATTGAAGAAACTTGACGCATCCTTCGTTTGCGGTTCATCTCCATTGACCATGTCCCATTTGTCTCGGTTGATTTCCACCCTCTGGCTGAACAGGCCTGCTCACCTCTTCGTCCTCATCTCCTCCAGTCTCCTCTCCCTCTACCACATCCGGGGGTCCCGCCATGTCTGCCAACTCCAGCCCGATGAAGGACGCCACATCCCCAGCAGCATCTCAGCCGCGGCCGGTCCGCCGCGCGCCTCAGGGTCCCCAAGCACTGATGCCTCTGCCCTGCAAGAAGGCCGACGTGCTGCAGTACCACAACTTCAAATGTCCGGAGTGCCAAACACAATTCTCTGGCAAGGCTGAGCTGGTCACCCACTTCCAGCAGATCAGAGCTGCTCCTAACTCAGTAAGACTTGGTGATGAGAGCACAGTGTGCGTTGTGCTGCTGGTGTCTGCTGTTGGTAAAAGTTTGATTTCCTCTTTTCTTCCGTTTCAGACATGTACGCAGTGCTCACCTCCCATGATGCTGCCAAACTCGTGTGCTGTGTCCGCCCACCAGAGGATCCATAAACACAGAGCGCCCCATGTGTGTCCTGAGTGTGGCGGGATCGCCCGGCAGGCCAGCTTCCAGACCCACCTGGAGGAGGCGTGTCTGCACTTCGCCAGGCGCATCGGCTACAGGTGAGTAGACACCTTCCAAAATGTACTGTTTTTATTTATCTTTCCATTCCCTCTGTTTATACAACTGATGTTATAGATGGTAGAAATGCTGTCATTTTATGTATTATTATAAATATTGTAATAGTTAACTATGACACCATGGAGTAGTTCCACATATTGTCAACATATTCAAATTGTGTTGTCCAGAAAAATGTTGCAATCTAAGAATATTACATTTGCTCTCACAGACAAATAAGAAAACCAGCAAATAATCACATTTTGGAATCTGAACTTTTTTATTATTTAATTGATAAAGTTTCCGACGAATCACCCTAGTCTGTAACAAATTTTACTTTATCAAGGTGCTCGAGCTGCCAGGTCGTGTTCGGAGGCCTGAACTCCATCAAGTCGCACATTCAGACGGCTCACTGCGAGGTCTTCCACAAGTGCCCCAGCTGCCCCATGGCCTTCAAGTCTTCCCCCAGCGCCCAGAGCCACATCAGCACCCAGCACCCGACGCTTACCGGAGGACAGGCCAAGTACGACAGCTGCCTCACTTTCAACCGTTGGAGGACGTTGGAAAAAAAATGTACAAATGTACATTTTTGAAAACAGATTCTGAGAAAATCTGTATTTTTTCTTCTTTTGCAGAATGATCTACAAGTGTGTGATGTGTGACACGGTTTTTACCCAAAAGCCCTTGCTGTACATGCACTTTGACACTCATCTAGCCAAGCAGAAAGTGCACGTGTTCAAGTGTCCTGACTGCACGAAGCTCTACGCCCAGAAAGGTTCAATGATGGAGCATATTAAGGTTTGTTTTCTGAATTATTCAGGTATTATATATATTGTAGTTCATGAGCTTTTTGCCTTTATGTGTTGCCTGTTCATTATAAGTTTATATACCAAGAACAGCAGTTATTGGAGTAATGGAAATGTTTTTATCAATTGGAGTAATTGACACATTTTGAAGGTGAATGAATTCCATCTGAACGCTGTCCGTTGTTTTGTTCTCTCACACTTTCCCGTCGCCTCGCTCAGACCACACACAGAGGCCCATCAGCCAAACAGGAGTCTCAGTCGGAGGCCCCTAACCCTGCCTCGGCCCCGACCATTACATCCAGCCCCTCTGGCCTCAAATCAAAGTCCTCTGGAAAGCCCGACAACTCTGACGGGGAGGACTGGGGAAGAGAGCAGGAAGAAGAGGAGGAAGACGACGACGATGACGACGATGATGCCGATGAGGACTACGAGGCTCCGGGGGCGACCTCGGCGGGGGGCAGCAGTCATCTCAGCGCTCAGACCGAGTGGACCTGCCCCCAGTGTCAGTCCACATTCACCGACAACGACAACTATCTGAGTCATGTGAAGACGGAGCACGGCAAGGTGGAGCTAACTACCTCTATCATTTATTTTAACCTCATCATATTGAGTCCAGTTATGGAGATCACACTGAGTGCAGCAAATTCAAACTGCTTAACGAGCCAAATGATCTTTGTGACTGGAAAAAGAGGACGAGAGAGGCTGCTGTTAATTTCCTGTTTGACTGAGATTTAATATCTTTTTATCTTATCTCTCTCTCTCTCTCTCTCTGCGTCCCTGTGTGTGCCGTCTAAAGTTCCCCTGTCGTATTTGTGGAGGCACGTTCAGCACGTCCTCCAGCTTGAGACGTCACGAGCGCGTCATTCACGAGGGCAACAAAAGAGTCTTCCATTGCCAGTGAGTCCCTGAAGCTCCCATCAAAAACACGCTTTTGTATTTCATAACAGAAACTGAAACAAATCTTTTCAAATATCCATATGAAAACTAATCTGTCTAAATTATTTTTCAGATACTGCACAGAAGGCAAGCGCACCTTTGGCAGTCGGTTCTTACTGGACAAACATATTCGGCTCCACCACAGAACCCCGGATGGACAGGTGAGTGAAGACAGGAACAGTTCTGTTTCTGGACGTGAGCTCTTGGCTGAGTTGTAATCTGAAGTTGGGCCATATTTTCTCACCACAGTCATTACAAGCAAGTTAATTCATGTAGTGTTGACACTGGAAAAGTGCCAGTTTGTTTGGCCTGTGGTGATGCTGGGTTCAGTTCTCTTTCTGAAACTATAAAAGTAACCTGCAGTAATTGAAAAACTCCAAACATTTACTCTCTCTCTCTTCTTTTATCCTCAGGGTGCCCCCGTGACCAGGAAGCGTGCAGCCACTGGTGGAGAAGGTAGCTCCTCAGAACAAGACGGTGAGGGCGTGCCCCCTGCAGTCAGGGCAGGAGACGAGGAAGAAAACGCCACAGAGGAGGGCGAGGAAGGCAGCGCTCCCCCCAAGAGAACCAGGGCGTCCGTGGCATCAACGTCACTCAGTGAGTTAGAAGAGGAAGACAACGTTTTCCGCTGCGTCCCCTGCGGCTTTTCCACTGAGGACGGCGCAGAGTTTCAGCGCCACATCCCCCAGCACCGGGCTGACACCGCCTCATTCCAGTGCCTGCAGTGCGGCGTCTGCTTCGCGTCAGCCGGCTCTCTCGGCAGGCACCGTTTCATCACTCACCGCGTGCGGGATACCCAGAGTGAAGCAGAACGGGGCACCGCGCGCCCGCACGGCTCCCCGGATGGCTCTCCCGCTGCCTCCCCGCAGGCGCTGGGTGAGGACGGCGATGGGAACCTGAGCTGTAGGGTGTGTGGCCGACGTTTCGACAAGGCATCGGACCTCAACACCCACTTCAGGACCCATGGCATGGCCTTCCTCACCGCACACAAGACGGACAAGCCCCAGTAGAGGCGGGGCGGGGTCCTCTGAGACTGACGGGTCGAGTGTCACGCCCGAGCAGGGAGGCGGCAGAATATGAATGTCGATGAAACGGAGCTGCTTCCTCTGCTGTTTTTTTAGCTACAGTAAACAGTTTAAATCTACGGCACCTCGTGTGTGCGATTGTAACTGCATGTTTGATCATGTAACTGGTCACTTGACTGAACGCACCTGTGACGGTGGAACGGCTCTCAAACAGCCCCCCCCCCCAGTAAAGAATTTCTATATCAGCCATATTGTTTCTCATCACTCTGCACTGAGTGTCGCCACCTGCCTGTTTCCACATGTATCGCATATTTTAATACACAACACTTCCCCACTGTACTCATGATCGCTGTAGTGCCGATATTTTTGTACTTTACATCGTTTTCATATTTGTTTACTTCAAGTCGTCGTTCTTTTCTGGCGTTAGGCCGGTTTTTATCAGCTCCAGACGCCGGTTCACAATACTCAAGCAAAAAAAATCCCTCGACATCTGGAGAGTGTAGAATTGACACTGATTTTTTTTATTTTGCTATAATATTTATTTATATGAAACACATTACTGCTCTTCGTATCCGTGTGAGTCGGTTGCGTCAAATCTCACGAGACAGACGATTTACCCAGCGACACAAACATGAGATGTGACTCTTGGAAGGCGTTTCATTAGCAGACGAGGTTACTGGAGGTGTGTAACCTGTGTAGTGTGAATAACGTGTGGTGATGTTAATCGTTAAGCTAGAAGAAGAGAGGTCAGGCTTCCTGCCAGTAGTGTATGTGTACGAGTTTTGCCCTGTAAATACATATGACACTAAAAGAAAAGCGTTCTGGTTTTAGTAACTTGTTATGATAATGTGAATACGTATAGTATTTGTACTTGTACTGTTTCTTTTTTTCCAAAACCATTTGAAGTCTAAAAAGAAAAAAAGAATCCCCCCCACCCCCCAGAGGTAGCTATACATTGTAATTACGAAGCAGAGTGAGAGCGTGGGGGTTGTGTTGTCTTAATGTGTATGAATACAAATGTTTATCTCTTGAGATGGTTTTTTTATCTACAGAATCAGTGCTTGCTGTACTCACGTTTCTTTTATATGTTTGAAAAACAGCCTTCGCGGTCATGTGACGGAGGCCGACGAGTGGATTTTTTTTTTTTGTTTGTTTGTATCTTTTATATGTCATGCTATCATATTTATATAGATCAATAGTGGAAATTTCATGTCATTTTCTTTTTCCATGGTTGTGGTCTGCTTGCTGAAATGCCATACACTTCTGTGCTGTTTCGAAATAAATGTGTAAAAGAGACAAATGACTCGAGCGGGACTTTCATCAGCAGGGAGGACTGAGGTCTGCAGCTTCTTTCTGTTTACAAGTTTAACTGTTCTCAGTTCTGTTCATATTAAATTCAGTGATAAACAAGAGCAGCTGAGACTGACAGGTTACGGAAGCCTATTGCTGCGAAACCATCAAAAAAAGCATGTTATAAAACTTTCTTACATCATTACAACAAACACATGTCACTTGTAATACATTTTCTTAATGTTATATTTTCACATTATGACAAACTTATCACATTATATAACATGATTGGTTTCACAATCATGTTTACGTTATAAAGTGATAAATATACATTTGACTAATGTGAAAATATGTTATAACGCTGTAAAGATCTGTTTGTTAAACTTATCACATCAAACTGATGCGATACTGATCTGTTATTGTTTTTCCAGCAACACAGTATTGAACGAATTAAACGTTTGACCCGATGGAGGTAATCAGAAAAATAACGGGGTCATTAAAGTTCAGGAATAAATATCTGATTCCTGATTCCATTATTTGTATAGAATTCCATAGCAGTCCACCCACAGTGGTGGACAGAAGGATTTCAAATACACGAGTCACACAGAAAACATTCACACAGTTTCACTGGGTTTCACACGTTTACTGTTCATGACACTTTTTCAACTTTCACAAAGTGGGTTTTTCGTAGCCTGGCCCCACCCCCTCCAGCTCCAGCCCCGTCTTACACTCAGAGGCCTCCTGACATGACGTCTGAACCTCGGACGGAATGGGAGGATGGTGGACTTCAATCACCAGTTCGTAGATCAGCGTCCCCAGCAGAGCCCCGACACAGGGGGCCACTATGGGGACCCACCACCAGCCTCCTCCGGCCCTGCAAAGACAAGACTCCATTAATATGGAGCAACAAAGCAGAACTGAGTGAAAGCTTTAACTGTGCAGACAAAACCAGAACCCTGAGGGAGATGACTAACTTGAAAACATCATCTCCCCAGCCGGCAATGTACGTGAACAACCGGGGCCCAAAATCCCTGGCTGGGTTCAGGGCGTAGCCGCTGTTGGAGCCCATCGAGATGCCTATAACCAACACAGCCGCTCCCACCAGGACCGGCTGCAAACCGTCGGGGAGGGAGCTGTTCCTCTTGTCCCCGAGAGCCAGCACACACAGCAGCAGAGCAGCTGTTCCTATCACCTGGATGACATGGGCATCATTACACGATGTCAACGTGTCAGGGGAAGAGATTCCACGAACGTGTTTCAGTTCTATTTATTGTTTCTCAAAATAAAAGTGTAGTCGATAGTAACGGTATCTGACCTGGTCCACTACCCCTCCCCACACACTGAGGTAGTCAGCCGGGTAGGTGGAGAATATTCCTGCTGTGGCAGTGGGACCCGACACCGTGAGCTCACCTCCGCTGTACGACCGGATGGCGTCTGCAAACATCTCGTCACACAAGCAAAGTACATGTAAACCACGGCAATGCACTTTATATGCAATTTGTCGTCAAGCGATTTGGGTGGACCCGTGTTTCTGAATTGTGGTGAACACTGTTGACAACTCACCGTAGTACTGCAGACCAACGGTAGCTGCAGCCAGAAAGGCTCCAAGCACTTGGAAGAAGACGTAGAGAGGCAGCTTCATCCATGGATGTCTGCCCAGAACACACAGACTCAGAGAGACAGCCGGGTTCAGGTGAGCACCTGGGTAAAGAAAAATGATATCACATGATAAATAAGTTTGAAATTTTAGTTTTTTGTTTTTTTAAATAAATATTCTAAGAAGTTTAAGTACCTTTTGCATGCACATATAATACACAATATTATTTATTTCTCACTTTTAACATATGAAAAACCCAGGGGACGTTATACAGTCTCTCACCTGAAACTCCACGTGACACAAAGACCCCAAACGTTACCCCCAGGGCAAAACCCAGATTGATTGACAGGTACTGCCCCTTCTTATCTTCAGTCGTGGTCACCTGGGCAACGGAGCCGCATCCAAACAGCTGCAATTACATGACGTGAAAATCTGTTAATGGGCGAACGTGTGCAGTAAACACAACAGATGTGCATGTTTTAAAATGAGTAAGACCCTGAAATGAAACTACTCAGTTCACACACAATATCCTGACACAGGTAATTAACCTCAGAGTGTTGTCTGAGTGTAATCTCTGTTTTTATGAACTTCATTACTGAGGAACCTGTTTTATGAGTCCTGTTGTAAAAGAGAGACGGTGATTAGATAAAAACAAAGTGTTCAGATGCAACAAAACCACGTAAACAAGTAGAGATGAGGAAACATCCCTGTCCATCTTAAAATAACACACATGATGGACTCCTGCACTCGCTCTTCATCCTCCCCCTTTTACCTCCCCCATCCTCCCCTTCGCTCACTGTCACACACTCTTATGCTCTCTCTCTCTCTCTCTCTCAGGCCAAAGTCCTTGGTTATGTCTTGTGAAGATTCACTAGCTGCATCAAAACACAATAAGAAAGACACCATTTGAAATACTTGATGTTGATGAAGGGAGAATGTGGACGAACTGATGAAGAAGAAATGTATATATTAATAATTTTAACAGCTTAATACAAAAAAGATGCATTTACTGGAAAAGATAAGAAAAAGAAAAGTCTTTGCCTCAGATAATTTTAGGACAGTTTGTGTGTAGTTTGACTTCAGAGGGTGAATCATTTTACTGAATTTAACATCTTTACACATTAAGAATAAAGATATACTTGTAGTTAACCTCATTTACTCTATAACCTAAGTTTGCATTCTGTAAAAGATTACTCACTATGAGGACGTAGACTCCAAGGCACTCGGCCATGCACTCCCTGACCAGCTGGTTTCTGATGTGACACTTCTTCAGCAGCCTCTCCATCCCTGTGGTTTCCTCCGCACCGTCCAGCCACAGGTGATCTGTCAGAGACGGGACGCTGGCATCAGGTGGACTTGACCCACACAGCACTGCACCACCCTGTGTCTGACTGAGCAGAGTTTGCCCTTTCATACTGGAGCTGCCGGCTGCGTCACGCGCTTTATGGCTCGGCCGAGGGACGCGCAGGAGAGGAGAGTAGTTCACTCTGTAGGACATCTTCAACGTGAAGCCCAGCAGGCAGGACTGAAAGTAGGATTCATGACACAGAGCTGGACTCTTCTACCTGATGGTGGTTCACTTGGTTGGTTTTCTGTGACCTCACCTGGTTGGAATCGGCCCTGATTGTCCTTCTCGTTTGATTGGTCCTCAAAGCATCTGATGCCAAAATTCCTCATTTCAATCAAGAAAATCATTTCTGAAAAATCAAGCAGAATGGGTTTCACAGCACCGTACATTATTTCTGTATCTTTATAATAACTTGTGTTTAGTGCGTCTGTGTAATTTAACACAACAGATAAGAACTGTAATTAAAAGAGCTTAGGCAACAGATTTCACGTTTAGTTTCTTTTTTATGATGCATCAGTTTGTTGGCCTGCTCTGGTGTGTGCTGTTGTTAACACATTACAATTCACTGGGAGAGATACAGGCAACGAGACAATGAAAGTGTTATTTATGATAAAACAAATTGGAACGTTTAATGATTATAATACTTGTAGCACATTTACAGCAGGTAGTTAAACTTAGGTTAAACTAAACTTTGGCTAAAAACAATAATAAAGAGACAATAAATCTGAAGAGCTCCGAGTTCTACTGGACGTTTTTTAAGGTAATTTTCAGGGCAGAATAACTGAGGATATTTATAATAAAAATGCAGCCTTCACATGTGATATTTATTCTTTCTTTGTTCACATCATTTTTATCTGTTTAAAGAAACTTCTTGTGGCTTTTTAAATCCCTGATGCTGAGAAATACACAAACATCAGTGGTTGTAATGTGAAGTGCAGATGAGTGACTCAGCTGAGAGACGCAGGCATCTGTAAGAAAAAGAGAAGAATGACAACATTAAGCATATTTACTGTAGGCAGCGACATTTTCTTTACATGTTAAACAACAGCCACATATGTTCAGCTTTACCTCCGGTGATTTCAGGAGACTTCATATGAAGCAAGTGTCTCTAATGCTCCTGAAATCATTTATGATGAAACATGGCTCCTCCACCTGTTAATGCAGAAAAGAGGGAATATTGATGTCCATCCATTAAGTTGTATTAATTTAAAGTTTTTAAAGATTAATACTCACTTTAAAAGAAAGGGAATTCATGATTATAGGAGCTTTATGTGCCAGAAGGGGAGAGAAGAGTAGCTACGGGAGAACATCAGAGTCAGCTCCATGACATTTAGTTTCTGTATATTTATTAACATGGTTTGGAATGATGGTGCAATAAAGTCAAGGATAAATCCTGTTTTGAAAAAGCAGCGTTATCTCCACTCCCCTCATGAACAAACCACAGGAACCAGACCTCCGGATATTTCACACATGAAAGAGAACCTTGAGTTTTTTTCAAGTTTAACTGACGATGAAAAAAAAAAACAACATTTCTGTATCAGTTGGTTCAAGCACAAGTTCAAAGTGAAATTCCATCACAGGCCTTTTATATAATGGGCTTTGATTTGTCTTGTTTATTAAGCACACATTTTAAAAAAGGGAGAAAGCTGATGTAAATATATTAAGACCCTTTATTTGATTCATCACACACTCATATACATACATACACACAGGTCTGTCTTCGGGACCATACAAAAATAAAATATGTAATTGTGAATTGTTCAGTCCCCGATGCGTGGCTACGTGGTCGGATGGAAACCCGGTGTCATCATCAAGCCAGTGATCCAAAAGCAAATTTGGCAACTGTCGATCATTGAAGAGATCTATCCTGTAAAAATTCAAACTCACAGCTCTACTGACGCACTTGTTTTCAGATAACAAAGCTACACTCCATAAGTGCAGAGAATAAACTGACCAACATGTTATTTAAACCCTCCGAAGAACTTGGAGAATAAGGAGTCATCATCCCGCAAGTCTGAGAAGGGCCGGCGACCACCTGGAATAAAAAACAGAGATATGGATGATTTATTAAAAAATAAATAAAATTTAAAAAAAACTCCACAGACATGTACAGTGAATCAGCTGAGAGTTGACAACAGTGTGGATAAACTCACCAGGTGGAACGGGTGCAGGTCGATCGTCTGGTGCCTCCAGGACTCCAGGGCCTCCTGAGCGGGTCACTGTGGTTTCTTCATTGCCTTTTCCATCTCTGACTGTTCGCCTCTCCTCTACAGTCTGACACACAGGCACCCAAACAAACATTAACTCAAAACATTAGAAATGTCCAAACAGTACGGAAAACTGCTAATGTTTAAATGGTGTTTGGCCCTGGCAGGAAACTCAGTCTCATCACAGTGGAATAAAATAAGCAACTTAAACTGAGCATGAAACACGTGGAAATCTGCTGTGACAGAATAATAATAAATGATTATTAAACTTAATGTGATTACCCCGTCAGGTTTCACCACCTTGGTGATGGAGACCGACTGGAAGAACGACTGGATTCTGGGCTGACTCGGTGTCTGACCAGCAGGTGGCGTCAGAATCTGGTCCAGGCCCCTGGCGGACACGGCAGAGTCCAGATCTGAAGGCGGATATTTAGTTGGATAAAAGGCAGGAATCACAAAGTACATTTACTCAGTCTAGTTTCCTGAATGATTACAAACACTCACCTCTGTCTTCTTTGTGCTCCTCCGCTGGGGTTTTCTCAGGCCCTTGTCTCCAAATGTCGTGGAACTTAGAAGATGTAAAAAAAATGTAAATGAGCCACTGAAACTAGTTCATAAGGGAGAAATTGAAATGGCAGATAGTGTCTCATTAACCTTGGAAAAAGGGCGACCATCATGTCTGGGTTCAATGGACGGTCCTGGTTGGGGCCCTCGTGTGTCTCGGTCAGGGGTCTTCAACATGAAGTCTCTCAGGGGGTTCCCGCTGGATCCCCCTCCTCCTTTCTCTACTCTGTCCTCAGATGGCGGCGGCGGCGGCATGATGCTGGGAACGCCTTCAACATAAAGGAAACAGAGACTGAGATGACAAAGCTCTTTGAGCATCTGACCCACCACAGGTGATCACTTGATCAGAAGAGAAACAAACTGAGGGCCTGCCAGCCCAACGAGCTGTATGTTTATTTTACATGTGGCGGAACATGTTCTGATCACAACAACATTGTAAAGAATTCGTGCCACTTCAGATAATGTCATTGAAGTAGTGTCGTCTCAGCAACAACTCAAAAGCAAATACCAAACGTCCCGGAGGTCATGATGACATAAACTAAGTTTGGTGACAATTTGACACATTTTGAGTTTTCATGACAACCTGAGGTGAGGGGTGTTCAGCTGCAACAGGACACTTCACCACTAGATGTCACTCAATTCTACACCCTGAACCCTTTAATACCAGGACCAGTGTTTGTACCAAAGTGTCCAGACTCCGGTGCTGTGTCCCAGTGTCCCATCTGGGAAAATATCTCCTCCATCTCCCTGAGGACGTGGCCGAACAGCGGAGGCTCCTGGATCTTCATCCCGTCCGGACCCAAGCTGAAGCCGAACCTCCAGGCGCTGTCGAAGGGATCCTGCTGCTCCCCCCGGGGCCCCTCATAGTAGAAGCCATCCTCCTCCTCTTCATCATCATCATCATCATGAGTCATGGCATCGAAGAAGGGGTCCCTGAGTGACACAGTACAATTCATCACAAGTTCATGATTTATCCTCATATGTTGATGTTAATGCACAGACCAGTGTACATTTAGCAGCTAGCATGTTCCCCGGTGGTTCTCCTGACAGATGAACACTAATCTCGACCTCCATTAGCTAAGTGACCCACAATCCGCAGCACCAACCCACTTCATGTCCAACTTCTGTTAGCTCCTGTTAGCTTAGCTCAGCTACACTCACCTCCGGCCGCGGTAGTGTCCTCCGGGCACCGAGAAGAACCCGCGAAACAAATCAAACACACTCATTTGTGACCCAACGACAACTTCACGCTGCGAATTAATTCATAACTTTCAACAAAAACTGTCGAAACACGTGAGTTTACAGCGACAACAAACTGTCGCAGCTGTCAACAGTGTCGTAAAGCGGTCTGGATGCTTCCTGATGACGACAGCTGTCGTGATGGAGCGTTACCGTAAGTAACAAAACGAACGCGCACCCGAAATAAGTGAAGACACTTAATTTGGTTAAACTTAACACTTAAAGGTTCAGTGTGTAGGATTTAGTGGCATCTAGCGGCCAATTTACATATAGCCAACCCCATATGACAGGCCTATCCCTAGGAGAACTTCAGACAAAGTTAAAAACACAAAAAACGTCACTGAGCCATGGTTTGCTCTTCACGACTATAGCAACATGGCTGCCTCCAGGATGTGGACGTACAGAGATCCTCCTAAAATAACAAAAACACAAATAATTCTTAGTTCCAGATAATTCTGCTGAGAGATCCACTAAATCCTTCACACCGTGCCTTTAAGTTTGAATACTTAGTGATACTTTATGCCTAATGTTCAGTGATTTTTCTTCTTCAAATTGACATTTTTCCAGTGGTACTTTGACCAGCCAGCCTATAATTGGTGAAAAGTATATTAGTACATTTACCAGTACAAGTGCACTTCAGTACAGTTGGGAAGTACTTTCCTTGAGTTTTAGGGCAAAGTGTGATCTGTAATTCAGGCCACATTTGGCAGCTTTGGTGGACATGTTGTATTGCTTTGGTTAACTCGTGGCCCAGAAACAGGAGTGGACCGCCCAGGTGACATCAATCTCCGTGGTAATGGGCCGGATGTTTACTTGACCAAATTTAGTTTACTATGTGAGCTACTACTTAAAAATGCTTGTGTATTAATACTAAAGTATTTGAATGAAAGCTTGAATGTCAGTCCATTACTTGTATGGAGAATGTTTTAAACTTTGGTAAAGGACAACTGGACAAACGATGCATATTCAGTTTTAACTTTTTCTACATTTTGATGTCACTCTCGTCAGGACCAGCAGCATGTGTTTACACCAATGAGTCTCATCACTTGGTTCAGCAACAACACACAAACCGAGCATCACTGTCGACCCGCAGGAAGAAGATCCTGCTACATTTACGAGCCACATGAGAAGCAAATATAGTTTCTTAAAAGACATTCACATCCAAAATGATGAAAACGTCTTTCTCTTGTTTATTTACTTAATATTTATATATTTTTACAAAATAAAAAAAGAAAATATATGAAACAAAAAGCTAACAAGTCTGCAAGGATCTGAGAAGGAAAAGGAGAAAGCCATCGAACAAACAGGGACTACAGTACTTGTGTTTTTTTTATATATGTACAAGACAAGTTTATCCATTTAAATTTTTTTTTAAAACGCACAGTACAAAAAGAAAAAATAAATCACTGAAAAAAAAAAAAAAAAAACCCATAGTACAATTCTGTCCATCAGTATTCAATGCTGCAATTTCCTTACAATGTCGGGGGGCAGGTGGTGGAGCAGGGAGGAGGTGGGGGGGCCTCAGAAAGAAAACAAAAGAACACACACTGGAAGGCAGACTGGGTGTGTATTGGCCTTGGAAATCATTCTGAACATCTCCTGCAGAAGAGTGAGACCTTTTATGCAACGTATCTATAATTCATGGGAACGGTCACTGTACACGTGTTGGATAATGAAAAATCCTGTGCTAGGCGAAAACACAAAGCACAGTACACAACCACGGCCCTGTGTGTACAAACATGCACGCAGTCACATGACAAACACACTTTCCTCACAGTCCAATCCAGTGAGCTTGCTTATATGTCTTTATATATAATATATCTATATTTGGTAAAAAATAAACTTCACAACTCTACCAATTGAGAGAATTGTTTCTTCAAACTTAAAATGACATAAAAATGAAAAGCAAAACATTTAACAGCAAGTAACCAAACTACTGCGTTCGGATATTTTATGTGGGGATGGAAGCATTTCCACCTAAATTAAAGGAGTGGGGGAGTTGAGAGTGTGAAATACTAAACCAGTCTGTCCCCCCACCTTCAGGTATTACTTCAAACCTCCCCATCAGCAAGAAAAAAAGAGGGGGAGAGACAAAAGAAGCACAGGAAATGTTCATTCTTTTAGAAAACAGTTCTATGTTACATACAAGTGAAAGAAAAAGGGAAGGGGCGGAGGAATTAACATTATACAAATTCCCAACACTCAATATTTCACCTCTTGACGGCGTGTTTCTATAACCATTCAGCTCCGATTACTCCTCTGTTCTAAGAACCCTCCCGTCCCTCCCACCCATCCGTGCATCGTGACGGTGCTCGTTCTCTCGGCACAGCACCTCCTCTGACCGTGGCCAGAGCTGCAGGAGTGCTGGGCCAAGAGACGGGGGGAGGGAGATCTCTGGAGGAGGAACAGGGAGTTTTATACGTGGAGAGGGTTTTTGCAGGAGGAGCGATGAGCCCCCTCCTGGCTTCTTTCAACGGCGTTGGTTTGGTGGGAGGGGCCAACAGTGGGTGTTAGTTTGCCCCCCAGTTGTAGCTGTTGTACGCCGACTTGTTGATCTGAGACTTCTGCTGAATGGAAGCGTTCTGGCTGCGCTGTCCAGTGCCGCTCTGTGGACAGAGTGGAGAGCTGTCACATCGTGTGTTCACTCAAATATTCTGCAGTTTAATTACACGAAGAACATTTATATATTCATAACCAAAAGAAACACCAACAGGAGACAAACAACAGTAAAAGCTTGTTCCCTACCTGTCCATCCTGCTGCAGGTGGTGGTGCAGAATCTGAGAATGGGGTTGTTGGTGCGGTGCCAGGATGTGCATGAACGGGGCAGGGGCGTAGCCAGCGGCAGCCGGGGGGTTGATGGGTCCCCCGCTCCCTAAAGCTGAGGGCAGGCTGAACGAAGCTGCCGGTGTCCCTGCGTGGAAAGCCTGCTTCTCAAACGACTGCGGGACGAAGTGGGACAAACAGGAGAGACATTTTTGCCTTATTCAAACAAAATGTTCAAATAAAATTTTAGAGCGATCCTTTCCTGTGAGGGATATTTATCTTAACATGGACGTTATGCATTTACCTGCGTCTTTGTGTAAACGGACCCTGAAATATCTGGTACCCCGGTGTTGCTCGATGTGACAGAGACTCCTGCAGAGACATGGGAAACAGAACACAAACAGTCCCAATACTGGTAAACTAAACACGTAAAGTTGACTTGAGTACTTGACAATGATATGCCACAAGGTCATGGTGAGATTCTAATCAACATTAATGTTATATGGTTTATTAACAGCAAGGAATCTAATTTATGAATTCTGTTTGTATCAACACTTTCTCCAATCCACACAGTAACCTAAAAACAAAAAGAGAAAACTTCAAGATGGAGAGAGGATGAAGAGAAAGGAGGAAGATGTTGTAACAGCTGCTCAGTTTCAGTCAGACACGGTGGTTTAAGTCTGAAATGGAAAGTATCTGGTGGTTACTGCTCAGGTTGCTCTTGCACACACTGACCCCCTGTATCACCTTGGAAATGCAGAGCAAGGTCGACTGGTGTGGAAAACAAACTACTGAACAGGAAAGACAAATTTAAAAATTTTTAACACTGCATTCAGTTCTCTGTGGCTTCCATCAATATCTTCGGCAAATTGAAAAAAAAAAGCTGAGGAGCAGCTCAGTACATGTGCAATGTTTTCTGCTAAATATAAACCTCAGTTTATCAGCAGAAACAATTTAAGGGTTTCAAACATAAATATAATAATATATGATCACAACATAATGGAGAGAACTAAGGCTCAAGCTGCCTCTGCATTAGTGAGGATACTAAAAGTTGGTGCTATTTTCTTCAGTCTTCTTCTTGGGTAATACAATCTCTTATTTCTCAACTTCTTATGAAATTTGTCAAGGAAATCCCACAGTACAACACAACAGCAGAACTGATAATAAAACCCTTTATACTTGTTTTAATTCTGGTATTTGTGTGTGTGTGTGTGTGTGTGTGTGTTTGCATGCAGCTGCTTTGGATGAAGCTCTTTAAAACAACTTTATTTTAATCGAGAATCGTAGAATAATTGTACTTCGCTCACAGGACAGCAAGCTTGTTACTCTGGAGACCGACACACCAGCGATGACAACATGAGTGAAGAGCAAGCAACACGGAGGGTAAATGGGATGTCATCAACCAGAGTAACTCATCAGTTAATGGTATTCACAGCCCCTGTGAGCTGTCACATCTATGTCATTTTGTCAGATAACACAACGTAACAGTCTACAACATAGTAACCAGATTGGATTGTTGATGAGTTACCCTGGAAGACAACAGGTAACACACAGAATGACAAACACAGACTTTGTGAAAGCACATGTAGTGACGGGTCAACCCACAGGCACAGCTCATCAGCAATGAGGGAAGGGAACGAGAGCGAAGAGGGGGAGAGGGATGGTTGGTGACACAAGGAGGAAGACGGGAGGGATAGGGATTTTTTTCTCTCTCCCTTTTTTTCGTTTTAGTTCGGCATGTGGCGGCACTCACCGACTCCAGGCCCGGTGACAGAGCTGGCTGGCTTGTTTTGTGCAGAAGAGGCAGCGGCCACGGCAGTGCCGTATCCGCCCTTACAGAAATCCCCACTCCCTGAAGCCTGGCCCACATCCTCATAGCCTGCAACAGTCAGACACACAGCCGCAGCCCACAGCGTTAGACACACCAGGCAGGGGGAGGCAGACCTGCCTCAAATAGCATTCGCAAATGATTAAGGCGTTTGTTTCGAACTGTGCCACATGGACAGGTTTTACCAAAACAAGACAATACAGTTAGTGTTAAGCCTTGCAGGAAACACTATACCCAATAATCTGCTATAAGCTTTAACACCAACTGCATTGTCCTGCATGGCAAAGACTTCCCATCTAGTACAACAGGCAAGTCAGGTTCAGTGCCAACCATCATTTGCAAGTACTATTTGACCCAAGTCTGAGGGGGGAGGAGGTGGGGGAAGTGAGGGGGCAGGCAGGGGGTGTGTGTGGGAGGGGACAGTGAGCTTAAGTTGGGTGATGGCAGAAAGCAGCAGATGGTGCAGCTTAGAACAAACAGGTGTTGCACGTGTGACCAGAAGGTTGATACTGAATGATGAATTTAAGCAAGAAAATAAACAGCATCACTAAAAAAAATAAAATAAAAAAAAAATTAAGGCGATGGAGCAAATCCAGAAGGCCACTAGGAAAAATGAGACCGCTGAGAGAACAAAGGAACCATATTAGGAGATCTGGGAGAATGATGCATCGTTTGTCGATGTGTTTATGAGGAACGTGTGTGTGAAGGAGATGGGGTGAAAGTTGAAGCCCATGAGCAAACTCCACTTTTAGAAATGATCAGAGCAAGACCTGGAGATCAGGAGGCGATCGATAATCCAACCCTAACTCTGTTAAGCATGTGTAGCCAGGTAACACTGATAGAGCCCCTACTCTCTTTTCTAATTGGTCTAAATGTCAGTCCCATTTATTTTAATCATAAGAAGCCATTTAATAAAAGTGATTCACGTTATTATGAAGCAGCTGAGTTTTTGAGGCATATTTCTTGCGTGTACAGATGATAAAGACCATTTACAAGATGCAGAAGTATTTCCATTTTCAATATAAAAACATTTCGTTAAACTTCAGTTCAAAAGAAGAGAATGTTTTATGATCCATTCACATTCGTTCTGACACAAGCGCAACAAAAGTCTCGACAAACATTGCGTTTATGCTTGCAGATGCTGCAGAGCTCAAAATGAAATGTGCACTCCACACCAATGAGAATTCGATGGGCTCGCTGTGATAACCAGTTATTGGTATGCGAGTATGACCTACATGAGAGTTGGACCTAAATGACCCTTCTAAACATGCCGTTTCCATATTGTTTAGTGCCTCACCAGTGCTGTATCCATGGGAACCATATCCACTAGCCTGCTGGAAAGGTGTCGCTGATGCGTTGACGCCGACATTCACACCATGCTGCTTTGACGAGGTAGGAGCCACCTGAATTGGGGGGGGGGGGACACGGTATGCAATTTCATCAGGTCAGCGGCATAATGAGAAAGATTGTTATTTCGTCCGCAATTTGTACTGTTTTTAAATGGCTGAACACAGCAAAAGTCAAAATCATCCACCATTCTGTGGAATATTAATACATGCTGCTAAAATCCTGCCAGTTGTTTTCCTTTTAATGAGAAAATATTAAAAACACAAGAACCAACTCAGGGTGGGAGCAGTGACACTAATGAGATCCAAACACATAAGCCAAGTCTTAAGTTCTCTCACCGGAAACACAGCAGGTCCGTACTGAAAGGTGTTGGGCAGGCCTGGCATGCCGGTGTAGTATGGGAGGCTTGTGTAGCTGTAGCCAGGCGGCAGTGCCGGGTTGAGGAAGGTCTGCTGTGTGGTGTGATGTGTCTGGGTCTGGTTCTGTTGTGTTTGAGCTAATGTGGTGGCTGGAGCTGGGGATGATGCATCACCTCGACCGAACTTTGACAGGTCACCTGCATGGGAGAGGACAGAGAGTGAAATCACAGAGAGGTATGAAACAATAAAGAAAATCATCAGATCTCAGGTAAACAAAGAACATAAAGCGAATGTTCTGAGATGCTGTAGTCGGCAGGATGTTTAACCATTCAAACATTATGAGCTAATCCTCACCAAAACAGAGTTATATCCATTCCACTGCACATAGCAGCATTAAATTCATATCGTACCCCACAGAGCATAAATAACAATACTTGAGGTTCTTTTTATGAGGCCAAGGAATCAATATTATCCATAATGTAATAAAATTAACGAGTGGCCTCAGTTAAGTTTTCCGGCATCCTGCCAGACTCAGGTTTCGATAACCACAAATACAATTTCAGCCAATCCAATACTCCACTACATTTTTGTCAGAGTTAAAAGCTGAAGTCAACTGTTCATTGACAACTGTTAGCGGATGACTCACCAGAGTAAGGGTTGTTCGCCAGGCTGCCATCTCTGCCAGTCAGTGCTGTTGTGGGAGTCGCAAAGGGGATGCTGTAATAATCCTGAGGAGATATAAAACAATTGTATATTTTTCACAAAATACAAATAATGACGTATGACTTTTGAATTGTTTTTTTTTTGCAGCAGCAGTTGAACACTCACCAGCGGTATTCTTGTCTGAAGCATCTGAAGATCATCGTAGCCGTAGACCTGAGGCTGAGATTAAACAACAGACGTGGCAGAAAATTATGAACAAATATGATCAAATCTGGTAAACACCAGTGACTCTCAGAAATTGCATCAATAGATATTGTCCTGAGTTTGGCATGAACTTACAGGGTAGGCATGCAGTAGTCCCGGAGCCATGATGTATGGGTTGGGCAGTAGAGGGGGCACTCCAGGTGGCAGGTTTGGAGGTGCTTTCCCTGTACGCATAAATCAATATAAAAAAATATAAGGAATGTATTGATTTTCTACAGAAGCCAATGCTGTGAAATCTATACAGTCACACAAGTCTGTGCACTGTAATTATTTATCATTCACATTCCACACAACAGCCTTGTGGTTGTTTGCCTGTTCTTGCCAGTTAAGCTGAAGATTATGTCAGTGAAGTTGACCATTAGGATATCAAACATCACTTTATTATCCCGTTTGACATTTATCTGAAATCATATCGTAACCAGTGCATTAATTCCACAATTGTGATAAAAACATGTTTGAGGTGAGTCTTAAACATTTCAGTTTTCTTATGCATCAAACCAAGTTCTGACAGTTTATTCCAATGCTGCATGAATAAATAACAACTCCAATAAAAGTCCTCAAACATGACCTGTTCACTAAAGCCTTTAGCCTCAGTTAACACTTCGACCTGCCATTAGTGCCGTTTTTCTCTGTCCTGTCTGTGCAAATTAGTTTATTTTCTCTTTTGGTCCCCACTGACACATGTAAAGCATCCTTGGGTCTCTTGAAAGGCACTATATAAATTCAAGCTATTAATACACCAGTAGAGGGAGCAGTAAGGAACACATCATGTGAAAGAATGAATAAGAGAGAAGTTTCAGAAACCCAGCAAACAGAGCAAGATGAGTCAGAATCATGGAAACGATGCCAGTGATGCAGAGGAAATGGAAACCAATCATCTAACCCTAGACACACCCACACTGAGCTCTTATCAAATATAGGGTCACAGTGTGTGGCCGTGTGTCTTTTTCAACTCAAAACATTAAAAGCACGTTTTAAGTGAACACTGCAAACGATACAATCATCTGAAACATTTTCATGGCAGAACAGCATGCAGAGGCTGGTTTACACATCATGCCTGATTCCAGAACACTAGCATCAAGAATTAAAATCACAGATGTAAGTGTCAACATGTTGGTTTGTTTGGTTTAGTGCAAAAAAGCATAACAAGGATTCATTGTAATAGTAATTTAGAATTGTGTTACCATTAAAAATCACCTTTTCCCCAGTGTAGAGATAGAATTAGTGATGCATACATCATGAGTTAATTGAAAACACTGTTGTGCTTGTGTTTTAAGTCTAACCTGAGGATGCTGCAGAGCTGCGTGCGGATGATGAAGTAGCTGCAGAGGGAATGGTTGAAGCCGCCGTGGAGAGTAGAACTGCGGTGGCTGCTGCAGATGGAGCACCCATGGAGGCCGGGTTGAGGCCCATGGCCAGACTGCTGACGGGCCCGAGGCCGGAAGGAGCTGAGACTGTGGCAGAGCCCACCGAGGATGCCTGAGGGGCCCCGAGGGACACCTGTGCAGCAACTGCTGCCGAGCAAGAGGAGGGGACTGAAGAAGAGGGGACTGAGACTGAGGAAGGGAAGGAGGAGGAGTGCAGGCTTGAGTCACCATCTACGTTTGGATGCTGTGAGATGTGAAAGAAGAAGGAGAAAAAGAATCAGTCAGGATTAATGCAATTACATTTCCATTAGAGTGAACAGTTATCTAATGGTTTCGCCTGTCATCACAGGAAATGATGCTTTTAAAATGCTTAGACAGATGGAGGGAGATAGACTCTCCAGCAGAAGCATGTTACAGAGCCATCTTATCTGCCTGGTTAAAGAACATCTGATGTTCTTCTGTTTCAATGGTTTAATAAATGTTTGACAAACAAGCTTCTGGTATTAATGTGGACATAAACATGTAGAGAACAAACCAGTAAGCTTGAGTTGGATGTCCGGACTGAAGATGGGGCAAGGCTGTTCTGTTGTGATGGGTGAGAGCTGTAAAAATGACAAGAAGAAGTTCAGATCAGGTTTCACCAGATCACACCACATGTACTGATATTTATGTTTGCCAAGAGGAAAAAACTCAAGTTATGTTAATTTCCTATGTAGTATGTGTGTTGATTTAGTTGCATCTCACTTGTTGTGCTGAGGAGGAGGAATGGTGCTTGGAGGCAGGTCTTCACTGTGCCCCAGAGCGCTTAGGGATGTCTGATTGGATGCCGTCAACAAGGAGGCAGGGCCTGTGCCGCTGTCCGTCAAAGTGCCCAAGCTGGAGCCGGATGCCTGCGTGATTGAATCAGAGGCTGGCTTGATTGCAGAGCCTGCTGCAGCTGCAGAGAAAGATCAGGAAAAAAAGACAAAAAAAATGACTGCTGGTGCATCTCAAATGCCTCAAACAATTTCAACAATGCTTGTAAAGAAAAAAAGAAAAAAAAGAGGCTTGCAAATGGCCACTTACCTTCCAAAGACTGCGCTGCTTGTATTGAACTGAAGCCATTCTGTAAAATCAACAATGAAGGTAAGCTCACAGGTTTCTATGGAAACAGGCCATTGATAACAAGTTGAAGGGTGTTGGGCTTTTGGAGACAGTCATCAAGAGGCTTGATATTAACCAGAGGTCAGGTTTGAAACTAGCAGCACTTTACAATGAGCACAACCTAATAAATAAGGAGCTGGAACAACGAGGAGAAGGAGCAACATCATCTGCCCTGAGTGAGCAGTTTATTAAGAGCTCCTGAGTTCAAGTATTGATCTCTAAATAAGTTGGGGGAATAAAGGGGGGTGACACAAACTAACTAAGCAACCGTGAGACTGCTGAAACATGCATTTGACAAAAGGGATGTTGATTTCAATGCTTGAGGGGGATTCTGTGTCTTTTACATTCAGCTCACATAGCACAACATCAAACATACAATTAGCGTTTTAATCACAGTCTTCAAAGTTAGATAGATGCACCAGGATATTTCTGCATCAGATCAAAGCCTTTCATCTATTAGGATCAAGTGGATGTTAGGCACGTTATCCAATGTATTTTAAATGAAAAAGGGAGAAGCTTTGGCCTTACCTTGGACTGCATATCCTTCTGAGGGGAGGAGGAGACTGAGGGAGGGTAGCGTCGTGTCTGAGGCGCTCTCTGGTCATACAGGTCCATCTGGCTGGAGTTGGAGAGAGCTGGAGTCGACTCACTGCAGAATTTCATGTATATACAAGACCCAAGTTTGACTGTGTTCTTAGAGAACAAGCAGTGGATCTGACTAACAGTTTGAGGGCGTTTTAGACCCTAGCACACACATGGGTATTTCTAATAGATGGTGCAAAAGAAAAAAAACATCATTTAAACACTGATATTAAATATCAGTACTTAGTCCAGCAAGGTGCTCTTGCATGGAATAACCAAATCAGTGTATTCAGTTGTTCTCTAAAGTTTCTCTGACATTCGAGGAGGTGAAGAAGTTGCTTTTCCTCCTGAAATATTCCCACATTACATTAATACACATTTGCAAAGGTGTATTTCTGGTTGTACCAACCTGCTGGGGCTCGTGTAGAGACTGTTCTGAACCTGGTTGGCTTGCGTTGTAGAAGGAGTGGACTCATACTCTGGTAGAACTGGTTCTGACCCAAACTGCAGCGCTCCAAATTGAAGATTAAGTCCTGAAATGTCCGTTGAGCCAGGCATCTCCACTGCCATTGCTGGAATCTGGGGAAGAGGTCGAGCATAATGTGAATCTATATATGCATTTTTGAGCAGTAATGAAGATTTTTAAAACCCATCCACCTAGAGAAAAAAAACTGAAATTTCAATTTTAATGTTACCTTTGTTGTAATGGACGCCCTCTTCTTCTGTTGTTTAAGTTTGTGTTGCTGCAAAGGCAGTGGACTCGAACCCTGGGCATCTGATGAACTTGGAGAAACCTGCTGACCGAGAGATGGGACTGCTGCCATTTTGGGAAGGGATGAAGCAGGCGGAGGCACCACATGGGGTGAGGATGTTGTATGTTGGGGTAAGGAAGATGACGAGGGGACAGAGGAGGAAGGAGGCAGGCCTTTGTCCTGCAGGAAAACATCCAACATGGACGACGCTGAGGTGGTGGCCTGGTAAGGCTGCCGCTTCGTAAAGGGCGAATGGACCACAGACTCGGGCTGAGTCTTCATATCTGAACAGTGAATGACGAGAGAAAAACATTTACGATCTACTTAATATAATAAGTAAACATTACCCATCGATGTGATTGAACAGAGAATTGATTTTAGGGTGTCATCTCACCGTATTGTCCAAGTGAGGCGGCACTGGTGTCCCAGGATGAAGGGGTTGTGTTCGGAGGTCCAGTCTGGGAATGCTGGGCTGCCAGCTGGGCCAGTGCCTGAGCGTTTTTATACTGCTCCAGGAACTGAGAGCCTGTGGTCCCTGTGCTGCCTCCTTTAGGGTCTCCCACATCCCCGAATCCCTTGCTCAGCATGCTGACCTTTAATATTGGTAGATTATGAGACACTTATTACAATAAAGCAAATGTTACTGCTACACTGGAAATTTTGACATGATGTCAAAGGCACTATCCTTTCCCCTTATGGTTACAAAGTGACTGGGATATAAAGTTAAAGTGATAATTCTGCATCAGTAAGCAAAATCTTAATTTCTTTAAAAAATGCTTTGATATAAAGTAGGCAAGTCTCACCATGCTGTGCTGGGTGTACGGGGTGCTGGAGGATGTTTGGGACAGTGGCGGCCCCTGCTTGGAATTACTAAAAACCAGTGATTGGGACAAGGAGGGAGGCTGGGTGGCCTCCATGGGGGGGGTTTCTGTCTCTGAGGAGAAGGATGGAGGAGTCTTCCCCAGAAGCACCGCCAGGTCAATCCTACAGCAAGGAGGAAAAATAACTTATGACATTTTACACTAATGCTGTTGATTAGTCAAAATTACAAAAGTATTCAGTCATAGTTTAAAAATGTGCTGGCTTGCCAACAATCAATTTTGTTGAACAACAAATCACCAGACTTTGAGCTTAAAGTTAAGTTAAATCTAATGTTGACATTTATATTTTCATTACTGGAAAAGTCACAGCTTCAGTACAACAAGTTAACAGGGATATGATGGAAATTTCTCTCAACCAGTTCCTGGAAAAGCAATTTGTTAGAGAGGGCGAGTTGTGGTAATAAAGTGCATCAATGACCCACCTCTGTCCTTTGGTGATGGTAACATTCTCCTGAGGTAGCGGCAAGGATGCCACACTGGAGGATGTGAATATCTTGGTCTCTGAAAGCTGGAGAGGAAGATGGAACAAGTTGGACGAAGCAGAGGTTGAAAGGGCATCCAGAATTAAAAGGAGCTGGTCCTCCCTCAGTTGAAGTACATTAAAAATCTCTCACAACTTCAGATGTTTGTTTTAAGTGCTCACAGAATCTTATTTTTAGAGCATGAGGCGCAATCATGAAGTTAAATCCTGAAACACTCACATCCTCATTCCAGTCTTCAGTTCCCCACTCCTCTGTGGCAGACCTCCAGGCACCTGTGAGTTTAAGATAAAGTGTTTGATATTGTAATGGGCAAAGTGAGTGCCAACAGAATAAATAATGCATAAAACAAGACGTGAAGAGAGGTTTACCAGGAGCAGAGTCAAACTTGGGCGGGTAATTTGTTCCCTCTCCTGCAGAGTATTCCAGCCCTGGTGACAACGAGAGGTGGGGAGATCATAGATGAATGTCATGTACAGATGGTTATACTTTATTTAACTGTGCACGTGGACATCTGGATGTATTAGGAGGCTGGCAAGTCTGGAATTTGGGTATTGGTGAACAGTTTGCATGGCTGATCAGAAAGCGAGTTTTCCAGACATGATTTTATAATTATTTGGATGGTAAGCAGATGCTTCACTGATTAGATTTATGTCTCTTATTGGAGGGCAGCCTCTTTTAAATTAACTTACTAGTCGACTCCTCCAGCTCCACACTTCCCGTGTTGTTCCAGGTGCTGCCCCCTCCATAATTTTCTTCTGTCTGGGCTGGCTCTGCATAGTCAGCAGGGTTGAATGTTCTGTGAAAGACAGGGACAAAGAAGAAAAGAGTTGAGCTATGAATTCAAATATGTACTGACCATTTCCAGCAGCCACAGGTGGGAGCTCATACACAAAAATCTGAGGTTCATCTTATTAATCTTACAAACTACATCTTCTTTTACATCAAATTCAAGAACTTTTCAGAGACTTTAGAGGCCAATTTTACCTTAAATTAAAAAGGACCCAAGACAGCACAGTTTGTGACACACCTCAAATTTAACTACTGCAAGAACACCTAGATTTAACTAGGAGGATCAACAGAGGCTCACAATAAAAAAGGGGTTTGAATGTGTGAACACAGCACAGCAAAAACAATATATTTAAGTTGAGATTTGGAGACAAATTTAGGAGTTCAAGAGCTGAGAGGCAGCAGGAGACATGCAGTTAGCGATATTTAGCCTCGTTACTTAAGATAAAAAACAAAAAGAAATTCAATTTTGTACAAAATATACAGATTTCAAGACAATAACTCACATCTACTGGTGAAGAAATGTCAAACATGGTATTTCCCCTTAAGATTGACAAACTTTCAATGAACTTTTACTTGAAGGCCAAGTAAAACCAAATCTGTCCAGAGGTTTAAAACATTACTTATTTTGAAGGACTTTTCATCCAGACTAGATTTTTTTGAGGTTCTTAGAATTACTGTTATCATTACGCGTTTTACTTAATACGGACGTAGTAAGAAGAGAGGAGGAGGGAACGACATGGGACGGAGGTGACACCAGTACTGTCTTTGAGAGTTTGTGCAGTGACATGCAAATGAGGAGGAGAATGCATCTAAAAACTAATTTAGCTGTTCCTCAAAAACTCTTTCCAATACTGCACTTCTGTCTAAAATTTGACACATCCAGTTCTCTTTTTATTCAGGCTAAACAAGTTTATTATTTGTCTACAATCCTTCTTGTTCAAATCAGAGAGCATTTGTGGTTTTCATGAACAGATTTAATTGTGACTTAGATGCTAGGAAAAAATTATCTGACATCCTCTTAATAGGATGAAGAATACTACTTAGTTTTAATTATGTCTTAAATTACATCATCTCATTTTATGGCACTCAGAAGTCTCCCTAAAGAAAGCAAGAATAACAGACACACCGGAGGCAATTCACTCACCTCTCACCTCCAGCAATATCATATGTGGGCCCCTTATCAATCTGGCTTTAGAGGAAAAATAATGGCAACAATTACAGGAAGCACAACAGAGTAAAAGTTGAAGATGTAGCTTTTGTTTTTTTTAGACCACCATCCTTGAGCAGCAGCATCTTAAGCAAAATGCATTTAATCTACCTGTGTCAGTGCTGTAAGAAACACACCACACGTCTTTCAGTCGCTATGTAAGGAAAGCCGGTGCGCTTTTCATTATGGTTCAAGAAATCCAGAAGTGTACACAATGCAACCACATATATAAACGGTTTCATGAAGAAGCAACTCAACTTGTTACAGACATTTAAACTTCACATAATGATACATATACCTTGAAAACATTACCTCTTTCTGGGGATGTGCAACTAACATTCTACACTTAAAGTAGCCGTGTCATAAAATACATTACAATTAAAAATTCTAACATTCACAAACAAGGAGAGGCCTGTAAGGACACAACAAACTCCCATCTCTTCCCTCAGTTTCTTCTCAGCCAATTCAAATACAAAGGCTGCTAATAGCTACCCCAAAGAAACAGCTCTGTAAATGAGCCAACAAATGCTTTGCTACAACTGCAAACAACTGGCTGCATAATGAATGGAGCTGTGTTCTCTCGTTCTTTGCCATATCTTGTCCCAGTGTCGAAAATCTCATTCTACACCATTGGAGAAAACATGATGTTTTCTGTATTTAAAATCCAATAGTATTTTTTTCTGTTGTGGAATTAAAAACTAAACTGATATTTTAACTGGAATTATTAATATTAATACATTCTAGTCATTTCACAACTTTGGAACACTTCAACGATTCCATCAGTTACAAGGTAATAAGTTATCATTTCCCATGAGAGCTCATAGTATCCATCAAGTTGGATTTAACGCATGCAAAGATTTATTTTGCAGGAAATATGTGCGTGAGGTGAAGGGTACACGCTGCCTTAGCATCATTTCAAAAGCAATAGCACAAGGTACCAATGAACACACACACACACACACACACACACACACACAGCTTTTCACACCATCATCATTTCACACAGTAAAAACCACATCAAACACCTGATCTGTTTGAAGGCAGCTTCCTTTAAAGCTTTGAGTGCTTCTTTAAATAACTTTGTTTAAATGACACTGAAGCCAAGCTGGTAAACCGTGACTGTTGGCAGCAAGAAGCAAAAGTGATCACAGACCTTGTAGTGGGAGTTTAGGTTACATGAAAAACACATGAGCTTGCAACACACGCGACTTCAGGCCAGAAGCCCCCCCCACCACCACCACCACCCCTCACACACACAGCTCTCAAGACATGCATGTCAATATTTGGGTCCATACTCCCAAGTATGTTTAAAACCGTAGAGGATTTTCAGAGAGACACAGACCATAAAGACAGCTATTGTGTGTACCACCGCTTTAACGCGTGCTATGCAAGCAAAGCTCTTCCACCTTATGAGCCTCTGTGTACAAATGTATTTTTATGGAGCTCACACTAGCCTTGAAGCACATATTCAATACTGGTTTTAGTAAGAGAAAATAATCTTCAGCCTCCTGGAAGCTGCTCAGCTCTTGACCTCCCTGCAGAAAACCGCATTTTGTCACATAGACTACTTCAGCACACCCCAGGGGGAAATTAAAAAAATCTCTACATTACACTTGACTGATCAACAAACGAATTAAATTTGTTTTAACAACTGGTGTCCTACTGCAATGCTGACTGTTATATTACAATGACATGAATCAAGAACACCACCACAGTTGAGAGAAGTACATCATCTGTTATGACACCTTCTGGTGATGATTCCAGCTCACAAACTGGCTTAATGCTGGAGCTTTATTCAGAGAGCAGAGACTGGAATTAGCTAGTCGGCTCCCCGACTCTCTTTGTAGATTTATCCAAATTTCACTCTAAACAAAATGTTTATACACCATAGACTCTCTGAAGAGACTTATTCAGCCCACACAGTTGCATCCCATTGGCTAACGTATGTCCTTCCTCCTTTGGATTAGGGCTAAACAATAGGCTGGGGTCCTGCTCTCTGGTGACCATGGCAACAGGTAAAAGTGGAACAAAAGACCCACTGGTTTTAGGCAACGCAGGTGTTCCCTTACCCCATGCCCTGCGCTGAAAACCGGCCTCCTCGCCGTCCAGATACTCCTGAGGAGACAATGACAGCTTACTTCAATTTCTTATTTTGACTATTGACGTGAGAAAGACTGGCAGCATTTCATGTAAAAGTAAAACTCAAGATTATGGCTGTGTGATATGACAATAAATAATAAATACTATGATGATAGAGATGAGACTCAAAACACTACTAACTTCTTTTATCATAGAGAATCACATGAGCCACTAGTGTTCAGTGCCAAATAGACACCAAACTGAGTCATTGCTTTTGTCCCTGACATGTGGGAAGATGTAAAGAGGTAACAGCTGCCGTTACAAATGGCCCCAATTTACACAGACAATAAAGGGTAGGGGTAACAACGGTATGTATCTGCATACGAAACAGCCTCCATCTGAAAGATTTTTGTCATATCACACAGCCCCACTCAACCACTGTGTTTTGATTCAATACATTACCTTCACCGAGGAGTTTGACCAAAGACAATTACAGCCACTTACCGATAGTCCCTCTTCCTCTGCCTCTTCCCCTTCGGCCTCGCTCGGCTCCTCTTCCAGCTACTCCAGCCTTGCTGCCATCCAAGCCATTCTCCTGACCGCGAACTTGAGTTAAGAGGAGAGACAACGGCAACAAGTTCAGACACAAAACAGCACACAGATATCAAAATAACAATTTTATAGAGAAATAAGTAATGTACGAGAGCCAAAATAGCCCCTCATTCAAAATAAACAAAGACTCTGCTACCGGCTTTGATTTTCTGTGGTACTCACAGTAGATGGTAACGCAGACACATGCAGATTCACAAAAGCTTTAACATAAAAACCTATTAAATGAGTGACTACAGCTGTGTTGGCAGAGATGGAACGTACAACAGCCAACTTGTAAATAGCCCTGGTATAGCAGACTTTAGTTTCAGCGAAGCAGGGGATAATAATGCTGACCTTTAACATGTGGCTTCCCTCAAAGGAAGATGTGCTGTGATGCATCTTTAAATATTTTAACAAGATTTCATGCAGGTGATGTCATGAAACTGCTGTTTTTAATAGACTCTGTATTTTATTCCTTCAGTAATTTTGTGGAACCTGTGCAACTCTTCACAACCAGATTTAACTTAATCTAACAGACAGAAGAAAAAACCCAATCCCACAATTGTCTGTTAGTAACTTTGAATCAGATGAAGTTTGTATTGTGCATGGAGCCCCTCAAGGGTCAGTTCTTGGTCCACTTTATATCGTCAGTGGCCCCAATTGTTCAGCAATATAACAAAAATTTTAAAAAGTTCAAACAGATTCTATTAGAAGTGCCATTCCTGTTATACAGAAAAGCATCGTCCGCCCACACACAAGGCTCTGCTCAGATTTACTTATTAAGCAGGTTTCCCACCCAAATGAATATCCAGCATTGAGGTTGAGTGTAGAATGCACCCATTAAGTTTTCAAAGATGCTACAAAAGATAAGTAAAGGCACAATAAAACGCTTTGGTAAACACTCACACTCTCGTCCCCTGCTGGCTCCACGGCCCTTACGTGGAGCTCCACCCCGACGACGTGCAACATCTTTCTCGCCTCCTTTCTCCCTGTTCTCTTTTCCTTCCTCTCCGGTTTCTGCTTGGCTCGTCTCCTTCTGGCCCGACACCCCTTTCTTCTTCCCCACCATTTCCCAAGAGTCCTTAGGAAAGTAAGCAAAGACAGAACCACAGTGTTAAGTCAGTGTACTTCTGCACTTAGTGACTGTGTCCCGAGTCACCCCCCCCAAAAAAAACTCATTAAAAAAGGTGAAGGTCAAGACTAGTGTATCTGTATATTGCTGCCATTACAACAGGACAGTATATCCTGCTAAAAACATAGTAAAAAAAAACTAAAATCAATGAATATACAATACACAACTACATGTGCAACAATTTATATATAATACACGTTAAAGGTTTTATGATGATCTGGAGTCCGTGTGACACTGGTAACCCAACTGGGTATTAAAAAGGTTTATGTATAAGTAAGGAGAAGTATAGAAAGTGTGTTTACACTGAACTTCTTTGCGCAACTTATAACATTTATATGAAGTATGGTTTGAAATAGGAAAACAACACGCTGTCCACATACCCTTCTATATCTTCACAGGAGCATTACTTGCTCAACATAAACTGTTCATTACTATATATTTATCTAACCCAGAGTAGCCCTGATTTCTCCAGAACCAGGCCCTCACAGTGCTAAGCCCTCAAACAAAGCCAGTACTCACAGTGTCCGGGCTACCCTCCAGCAACACGTTAATAGCTCTGTTGACATCCCCGTTGCAATCGTGCAGTGCGATCATGGACTCGTCCTGGTCTTTGCCTGTGATGTCAATCAGCTGGAAAAGAGGGAGTAGCATGATCACACACAGACATGAGCCTTTACTGAAACTACAAGCATCTCATCTATCAAAGGGCTCTTATGCAGAATGTTTAAAAATATATATTTCAGGATACAGCAATATGCAAAAGTAAATGTAATTTCTTCCGCTGTAGGAAATATGTATAATAAGTAAAAAGTCCTTATCAAATGGTGACATCAGGATCTTTTAGTGGTTCTTGCTCAATTTTTTTTTTTACTTGGATGCAATCATTAAATTAGGCATTATTTTTGTCAGATTCTGTATAATGATACTTAAGATAGATTTATTATCTGGTTTAAATGAAGATATGTAATGAAATCTATGATGGAGCTGAGTTTGAGCAGATCAGTATTTTGTCTTAAGTTTAAAAAATATTTGTAG